ACTTGCCAAAATCCAAATCCAATAAATCTTTCCCCCAACCCCCCCCCCCCGGCTGTTAATTTGGGTTTCGGAACAAACACACTATTCTTTTATAATCGGATTCCATAGTATATATAATTGCAATTTTCATGCGAGAAACACACCAAACCCATTGCACGAACCCGCCAAAATATAACTGATAAATTTGAAAGAGTTCCCCCATGTGAACCATGAAGAAGAAATCCGAGTGCCATAAGGAAAATCCAGTTGTCGTCAGACCAAACAAATCTAAAAGCGCAACCGACCCTAATGTGAACAACCACCTGCAACCATAAACATTTCCTCAGTAGGTCAAATGCATGTAACCCCCCCCCCCCCCCCGGTTGTTAATTTGGGTTTCGGAACAACAACACTTTCTTTTATAATCGGATTCCATATGTATATATAATTGCAATTTTCATGCGAGAAACACACCAACCCATTGCACGAACCCGCAAAATATAACTGATAAATTTGAAAGAGTTTCCCCATGTGAACCATGAGAGATCGAGCATAGGTATCAGTGTCGTCATGCAATAGCAAGCAGAAACCACCATGAACATAATGCTTGTAGAGGTTGCCATGCCTGTAAAATCTGATGCAGGGAGATATATAGACTGAAAATTTGCGATGTGAAAGGGAAAACTGGGGTAGGGTTTCTACTTTTTATATATGCATGTTTCTTGCTTCGTAAGTTATACATGTAATTATCCTTAGGCGAGTGGGATATAAGTTACTTATGCATAAAGTAAATAGATTAACGCTCCAATTGTTTCCGTAAAATAATTTGCAGAAAAATATTTTCTATAATTTTCATTATTTGGGGAGTTTAGGAAAATAAGTGAATGGAAAATATTTTCTTGGTCAAAGAAAAATTAAATTATTTTTTAAGAAAACAACTTTTCATTTTCGAGGGAGTAAAATATTAGCAAATTTTATAAATCCATATTTTTTAATTTATTAATCATTATAGTCACTACCACCAGTTACCATTTACCACCGACCATCGGCGGCTTTCATAATTTACTTTTTTTTTTTTGCATTTTCAATTATAAAGATAAAATTTTTAAATTACAAAATTTCTATTATTATCTAAATTTTTATGGCTCTTATGAGATAAAAAATTACAAAATTTCTATTATTATTAATATTTTTTTATGGTCTTATGAGATAAAAATTTTAATATTTTTAACTAGTTTTCAATATTACAACCAAACAACTGAAAATAAGTTATTTGAAAAATATTTTTCAAAGAAAATATTTTTTAACAAGTTATTTTTCTCCAAGTTATTTTACGGAAACAAATGGAGCCTAAGTTGTATATTTTCTTAAGGTTTAAATTAGATGCATAATTAAGATTTTTAAGTGAATTATAAAGAATTAATTAGTAAATAAAGTGGTAAAAAAATTATATTTAATGGACAGATGTATTTATTGAAATTAAATTATAAAATACCTAATAATTTTCTAGAATTCGAATAAGTTAAGTAATTAATATTATAAAAGTTAATAAGATTTGACGAGAATTTGTTAAACAAGTATTGACTTGGGTTCAATGTTAAATGTATTTACTTTTAAGGCCATGTGAAATTGTGGCATTTCCCTAGTATTAGTTTGATAGTCTATATTAATTTTTTTTTGAAATGATGGTATTTATGATCATGTACACTGAAAAAAATAGTAATAATTTTTAAAAAATTTTTTATTTTAATTGATTTGGTACATAGGTGATATTATACTATGGTATAATATGTATATATCTAGTGAGTTTTATTTTATATTTTCAATCAAATAATAAATCTTATAATATATTCCTTAATAAAAAATAATAAATTACATTTATTTTTTTGGAATAAATTTCTCTTCTGAAATAATTATAATCACTCAAATTAAAGATTTATTAAAAATAATAATTAAACATATTATGTTATTACCGTATTTAATATGTACCTTATATAGTATAATATGATTAATCAAAATTAAATTACATTTATTTTTTCAACCAATAAAATTTAATCTTTAAAAATATTATATTCTTACCATATTTAATATATACTTTATTTAGTATCCATCAAGTATTACCATATTATGTTATATGACCATAGTATGTATATATTACTATATGATATGTATATATTACTATATTTAATATATACATTATATACCTTATTTAATATTATATTATATAATTTTTATTTCAAAACCGCTGATTCTAGTTATAAAAAAGATGAAACTTAAAAAGTTATTTAAAAAGCCATTGTCGAACACTGTCAAAATCAGAGCGGCTAAATCAATGAGACGTTGCGTCTCCAATGGTGGCAGAACCGTTGAAGGATGCAGTTGATGTCGAATGTGTTAGTAGTAAACAAGCAAATAATATATGCTCATGCTTTTAGCAACAATGGCTTATTTAATTTCTAATTTAAAGGTTTGGAACTCACTTCTAAATGATATTGATTTTATTATTATATCCAAGACTTTGATGAATTAATGAAGTTTGAAGTTTTATCCTAAATGAGTTAAAGTAAGTTATTTATTTTTTTAAATCAATTTAAAGAAATTGATTAAATAAAGTAGTAATATATTTAAATTTAATGGAGAGATATGTTTGGTGAAATTAAATTAGACAATAGCTACAACTGTCTGCAAATTTTTTTTAAGAGAATACCCATGATGCAGAGAGAAAACACATTTTTTAAAAACTTAAATAAATAATTTAAATAGTAAATAATAATTATTAATCTAATATTATACATGATGTTACAAAATTGAAGCATTTAATAAGTACTCCATAATTATAATTGAAGCTTCAAAGGATCAGAACAAAAGGAAAACTGCCACAATTTTTTTTGCAAAAAGTGCATGAATGGATTTATGCATTTAGGGTCTATGTGGCAAAATTAACTGTAGTTTTGATAGTTGTTAACTGTTTTAACAGCATGTAACTGTTAGTTATTTGATTAGCTTTTCATAATATGCTAAAAGCTAAACGTAACATGAGTTAATTTTTTACAAAACGCTACATTAATCTCTAAAAGTTAGTTCAAGTGATATGTTACCAAACAATACAACGTTTAATGTTTTGACCCATCAAAACACTAAAAAACTACTTAAAAAGTAGTTGTCAAATACAGCCTTAGTCTTTCTACTTTTCATAATCATGACTTATATATTTTCTTAAAAAATATTATGGGTTAACGTATTCATGAATTTTTTTTTTTTTTACGACTAAAATCCCCTCCAGCAGTAGTAAGTGATGGTTTTTTACATTTTCAATTACGTGCAGATTATATATATTTTTTTTATGGTAGGTAGGCAAGTATTTCCTTTTTTTTGCCATATAAATCATAATATAATTGGTAAGATAAGACTTACCATTTTAGTTGAGAGGTCGAGATTAGTTGGTAGTTTTTATACATAAATCCAAAAACCAATTTAAAGTCAACCTCAAATAATAGAGCTTGAAAGTTGAAACAAAGTATTCCTCTGGCCTATGATTTTTACTCAAGGAAATTACTTTACGCCACCAGAATTACTGTTCCTATTTATAGTTCTCAAATCCAATTCCAATGGATAAACAAATACAACAACTCCTAAAATGTAGCACCAACACGAGCGCCATTTCTCTAGCCTCCTTTCTCTCTTTCACTCACCACCTACAAATTTAAATTGAAGAACAAGAATCGATTGATACATTATTATCGAGTATTTAACTGCTGGTAATAATTCTTGAATCTTTTTTTATGATGTTGTTTACCGAGAACGTGACCATTACTATCCTGAATTTTTATTTTTGGGAAGACAGATACACTGCCTTTTCTTAATTTTATTATATTTTGGATAGGAAGTTTCTCAGAAACTGCAAATGCACGTTGCCTTTGTCATGCCTGTTCACATCTTTGTATTCTACGGACGATTTCCTATTTCGAAAAATTCTTCAAATCTTGAAGAATTTAATATTAATTATGTTTTGAACAATTCAACATTGTCTGTCTGGCCGTTAACCCTCCAGGCTTCCTATTGACAACAAATGCCTCAAGTAGGTTTCTGGGTTTTTATTGTCTGGTCTCATTTGTTGGTCGTTGGTGGTTGTGGCTAATTTCTTGATCTGGGTGTTGCTTATTACAGGCTTTTAATGAGGTAAGACAATTTGTTTTGTTAATTGGTGTCCTTCTGCTTTGGCTTTGTTTAATTTCTCATTTCATGTTAAGCTGAAAGAAAGATTGAACTTCATACTTTATTTTTTGTATGCTTTCAGGGATTTATGAATGGTGAATTTGGAATCTTGGAAGTTTCTGGGTGAGGATTAACGGCTTATTTCAAAATTAGTTGAAGTTTGGTTCTTTTCTTGGCCGAACTGTGATTCTGGAGAAATAGGAAGGAAACTTTTGACGCAGAATTTGATCTTATTATCAAATTCGTTTCTTTGCAAAGTTAAGTTAGGAGATAACCAATTGGGATTGACTAATTATTGGTTGGATTATCAAAAAACAAGAAAAGCTGTAAAATTATGGATCTAGCCAAGGAAGATTCAGGTAGGGAAGGAGAGGAAACGGACAGAGAAACCTCTGGGGAGACCCCTCTCATTGTTCCTCCATTCTATAGGTCCCGTTTTCCGGGCATTGTGAGACAGAAAGCCTATATATTTGATGGCTATGGAAAATATTACAACAAGGAGTGGGATCTCGCAGAAGGTAAAGACAATGAATTCTGTTGGTACCATGTAGAACTTCCAAAAAGTAATCACAAACTTTCAATGTCTGCTCAATGCCTCATTGATGTGCTTTGCCCTCCTTTGAAACTCCAAGACATTTTGTCACTAGTTGGCAATGGCCCTTATTGTGGTCATGTTGATGGGGCATTAGTGTTTAGAGTTAATTCTCCTGGTCCTGCTTCTAGTGATTTTACATTTAGATTAGCTGCTAGAGTTACTGAGAATTCAGTAATTACTGTGTCATTAGGCCGTGTTCCAAGATTAGGTTTTTCACCAACGGCTCAATCTTTACTCTCAGAGATTCCTAGTGTGGAGACTTCCCCTTACCTCAGAGATGAGCAAAATGAACGTAGTGGAATTGTGATTAAGGAACATGTTCTTGAGTTCTTACTAACAATGAATCATTCGGACGAGGCTGATAATCCAGTTCCAAGATCCGTCTCTAATCTTATCGTTCATATTCTCGACACACACGTTGATCACCTTCAAGATATTGTGACTAAACTCGAGATGGAGCTAGACTCTGTGGAGATTGAACTTGACAAAGGTACAACCAAATTTTCCTTCTACATTTTGCTCTGCTTTTTTATTCTCATTGATTAGAGTATTAGTGGTTCTGACAATAGTTAAAACTGTACACTCCTTTTATGCTGAAATTACCCATGCTATTTTCTCAGAGCAGTAAAGTGGCTTTTATTTTTTATTGGTCTGCAAGAATTGTTGGTGTATTATTTTGGGAAAACGTAGCATATTATGTTCAGCCATTCCTGTTGAGAATTGGCAGAACAAGTAAAGAGTTATAAGAAATTCATAGATTTTGAGCTAGTACAAGTTTTAATGTCTGCTTCTTATGTACATGCTTGAAATAGAGAACTAAGAACCTAACTGTTTCTCATCTGTGTTACCGCTATGGGTATTTTCATTCTAAGTAAAGTTATTCTTTAGTTTAACAGGTTTCTGATAATTTACAAAAGAAAAACTAATGATAGATATTTATACACAGCATTTGATTGCGAAGCCTTGCCATAAGAATTTTTGCCTTTCTTATGTATAAACATTGTAAATGGTCTACAGGTCAGATAGATTATTCTCTCTACAAAATAGAATAACTATAGTCTGTCACATTCCGATATTATCTACACACCTATGTAATACTTTTAATGCCTAGTAATAACTAGTCAGCTTGGAAGCTTATAAGATATTTTGGGACAACAGATTAGCTGAAACTATAATTGGTTTGAAAGAAAGCTTGATCAGACACTGGTTTATGCTTTTAGCATTAGCATATACGGTTGCTACTCTCTCTCTCTCTCTAGTTAATGTTGCTCGCTGTTTGCTTATTCATGTTCTATTTTCAACTTCTGAGTTGATGCTAAACATTGTTTGTGTAATGCATTGCAGGCGGTTTTACTTTGAAGAAACAAATGCTAGATGATAGAAGATTCCCCAAAATGCATCTCAATCTGCAGCGTCTGCTGCAGGTAGTTTCTCTGCGTAATATGATCATGTCCTAATAAGGAACATAAATATAGGAAAAGGAGTTTATTCAAAATTTAATTGCTTGATAATCAACCATAATTGACTGTTTGAGTAGTTAATATGCGAATCCAAGTCCAGAAACAGAACAGCAGAATCTATGAAGCTTGAAGCCTTCGATCAATAGACTGCAATTATTTTAAAATCTCCATATCATGGAGTTTAGACTTTAGAGCACTTCACCATTCATAATGTCCATAAAGTTTTTTAGCCCCCTAAACTTTCATCAATATCACTGTGACTGCTTTATACCAGATAAGTTCTTAGCCTTGATATTCTTTTTATCATTTTAAGGAATACAAGTGGATAGGTGGATCTTTTTTTCGTTTTAATTTCATTTGGCTTTCAAAAGTATGAAACTGAAATAAATGCACTAAAACCTTGTATTTGAACTGAACTTAGGTGATTGCATATGGGGAACAGGTATTCCCTCGGGTAAAAGAAAAATGTTCTTTGAAAAGATGGTTTGCAAATGAAGACATAAATGCCCTCGAAGAGCTAATTGGACAGTTGAGGAGGCTAAAAGAGAATGTGGGGTTTATTGCAAATCGTATCACCGCAATTCAGGCTGGTCTAGATAGCTGGCAGTCTGAGCAAATAAACAGAAAACTGTATTATCTGTCGTTCCTTTCAATTGTTTTCCTTCCATTGTCTATAATTACCGGAGGTAAAATGTTTCTTATGCTTACATTGCAGCAGTTAAAATCTGTTGAGCATGATTTTGAGAAGCATCTAATACACTGTTTCTGGACATTCTTGACAGTATTTGGCATGAATGTGGGAGGAGTTCCATGGACAGGGCAAAAAGACCCAGCATTGAAAGACGGTTTCAAAAATGTAATGATTCTGTGCCTGGCAATGCTAATTCTGCTGCTTTGTTGCTTCCTTTTCCCTTCACTTTATGCTCGTTTATTTGATTGGTGGAGGATGAGGTCTTTAAAAAGAAGCTGGTCCCCTAACAGGAAGTCATTTATATATAAAACCCGTAGCAGTGGAGAAAACGAAAGAGGGAGTTACCTTCGAATTTGATCTGAGTTATAAACTATAGCCTAACAACACCATTATAGTACAGAATTCACCTTGATTTGTCTTCAGTTACAGAAATTTATCTTGTGTCCTTAACATGTACTCAAGTCCTATGAGAAACTTCTCATCTCAGTCCTCGAATCGATACCATTTGACCGGTTCATGAATGGCATCTGCCTTCTCATATATATAATTGCCAGTGATATCACTGACCCTTGCTTCTGAAATTGATGTGCTTTACATATTTGTTCCCAGAATGGATAAGAGGTGAGCCTTTTCTTCCACTGATTCTTGTTTTTTTTACTTGTAATTTACGGATTTTTTTTATTTTATTTTTTGGAATCTTTTTGACACATTGTACAGGAAATAACATGTATCTTTCTGAATATATGTACATTAATAGCCCTCATGATTTCATCATCCAAGTGGTTGTGAAATCTGGTTTTTCTGTTGGTAGATGTTAGTTAGTCCCTTTGTTCGTTTTGTTTACTTATTTGTTAATTGTGTCATCCTCCAAAACTATTTTGGTATATCCCATCACAGAATATATTGATATATACTTACATGTATTTTAACATAATGTTTAATAAAAATACATTTGATTATATTATATTATATTAATTATGGTGTATCAAAAGTTTTTTTTAGGATATCATTAAATGATTTTTTTATGTAATTTAATTAAATTTATTTTTAGAGAACTACTTTCACTTGATGATGAGAAGTGAAAGGCACTATATGTTTTATATATTGGACATGATTGTTTATTTTATTGTATTTTAGTGTTTTTTTGTAAATAAAAAAATGAAGTACATCTATCATGAAGGATAGAAGATCAACCTTCCACATTAATGTATAATCTAGTGGTAAGTGCATATATAACTATCCTGGTCAAATCCATTCCCTCCAAAAATAAAAATATTTCATTCCATAGAAAATACCATAATTTATCACTCATTTACTTAATTAGACAATTAATTATTGCTTAAGCTTTTTTTTTTTTTTTTTTTTTTTTATATGTAACAAAATAGCCCTTCATGATTTCATCAATCAAGTGGTTGTGAAATCTGGTTTTCTGTTGGTAGATGTTAGTTATCCCTTTGTTCGTTTTGTTACCTTATTTGTTTAATTGTGTCATCCTCCAAAACTATGTGTATATCCCATCACAGAATAAATTGATATATACGTACATGTATTTTAACATTAATGTTAATAAAAATACATTTGATTATATATATTATATTAAATTATGGTGTATCAAAGTTTTTTTTAGGATATCATTAAATGAATTTTTTTTTATGTAATGAATAAATTTATTTTTAGAGAACTTACTTTCACTTGATGATGAGAAGTGAAAGGCACTATATGTTTTATATATTGACAGATTGTTTATTTTATTGTATTTAGTGTTTTTTTGTAAATAAAAAAATGAAGTAACATTCATCATGGAAGGATAGAGATCAACCTTCCACAATTAAGTATAAATCTAGTGGTAAGTGCGCATATATAAACTATCCTGGTCTAAAATCCATTCCCTCCAAAAATAAAAATAATTTCATTTTCCATAAGAAAAATACCATTAATTTATCACTCATTTTACTTAGATTAGACAATTAATATTGCTTAAAGCTTTTTTTTTTTTTTTTTTTTTTTTTTTTTTTTTTTTTTTTTTTTTGGAAAAAAATTGATTAGAAGTAATATTTCAATTTGAATGATTTGGTTTATTTAGTTAAACAAATTAATATAATTGAAAAAATTTCAAGTTTTTCTTTTTGTCTTAATTAGTTATTTCAACTTCCTTTTGAATAGAATTTAATATGTCAAACTGGAAAATGGATTAAAGAAAGCATCAAGGCAAACTTAATGTGGCCATACAAATGGTTGGTGTAGGAAATGCCTACATAGCATTTTCATGAGCCTTTCAACTTTTATTATTCTGTAGATATTGCAAAACAAATAAAAAAATTTATAGGTATCCTACATGTACTAAAAAGTAGTCCATTTTTCATTTTAAAAAAATAAGCGTAACCCATTTTAATATAAAATAATTTAATCTAGTGGTTGAAACGTACTAGATAATATCGTGATAATTACAGAATTAAGTTGACATTTTAAAAGAAGACTTTCAACATAATCACTTTCTCACTAAAAAAGAATTAATCTCTCATCTCATCCCCGTCAACCGGGAATGATAGTAACTAAGAAATAATTTATCTTCGATGAGAAACAATATAAAATGGAAAAATATACAGAGAAGTTATTTTGTATTCCAAATTATATAAATGATTAATAATTATATTTCGAAAATTTATGTATTTTGTTAATATTACTTTCAAACAAAAAAAAATTAATATAATTTATTATGATAGTAAGTTATACGTCTGATATTTGTAATAATTTGATAATGAATTATACTTTTCATCTATATTAATTATTAATTGTATTATTTAATAAAAGACAGAATTTCTTAAAAGATCAATAAATTTCATTGGTTATGATTGTAAGTTCAACGTCTAATCTACAATAGCAGAATCTTATTATTCGCATAGTTATTTATAATGTTTGAAATTTTAATATTATTAATAAATTCATATTTTTATCGACAACCAGTAACATAACTAATAAATCCTATAACTTCATTTTCTGCTAATTAAAAAAAAAAGAAAATAGTATAATGCATATAAATAATTTTCAAATTATAACTCCAGATTTTTGGCTCAAGAAGGTTTAAACAATTAAACTATGGATGCATCCAGTAAGGGGAAACCTATATTCTCCAAGAAATCCATAAAAAAAGATAAAGAAAAAGATTTTTTTTTTTTTTTTAACAAAAAGGAAAAAGAGTTGTAATAAAGAAAATGATAAGTGCTTAATTTGATCTTAACATATCTATCAGATGTCCTATTTAGTTTTTATTTTTAAATAAATTTAGGACATGAATTTTTAGTTAACAATCAATTTACTTTTTTTTTAGTAAGATAAAATAAAATATTTAATTTTTCCTTTTAAGATATTTTAAAACAATAAAAACATTTAGTATTTTATTAAAATTTTTTGAAAAGAAGTAAATTGATTATAATCTCAAAATTAATGTTCTAAATTTTATTTAATTTAATGATTAAATTAAATGTTTAGCACAAATTTAGGTATCAAATCCAACTGTTAAATTTAAGCCTTATACTATGCATGATACAAGAAACTCTAGAACTGAGAACAACGTGTCCATTTCTCAACCGGATAGCACCAAAGAACATACACCTCAACAAACGTCGACGTTTAGATTTCAACCTTTAAAACAACATCGTTTAAGCCATGGGCTTTGTAAGACCCATGAATAGCGGTACTGTTAGGTTTAGCCATTGGCATCTAGAATCTTCTATCTTCAGCTAGAAAGCCCGTTTCCGCCTCATAAAGCACAGCCTGCAAAAACCCTAAACCCTACTAACCTCCGATTAAGAAGCCAACATTTCTGTCTATCCCTTTCTCTCGCATACGCTTTGAGATCCACCGATGGCCGCCGCTGCTCTCATCCGCACGTTGAGGCGCCGCGACGTCGCCTCCGCTCCTATTTCTGCTTATAAATGTGTATGATTTTATTTCTTTCTCATGTTGTGTTTAGATCTCTCCGCTTTATCTTTAGCTTTTTGATGGGTCTTTGAAAGTTGTATTTTCTTATGTTTTTTGATAGTATCACTGACTTGAATATGATTTTACTGGTTTAGTATGCTAATTTAGTATTTTGTAGTTTCGGTGATCTGAGTTGCTTTTTGGATTTTTTTTTGTTCCGTTTTCTGGATGATAAAAAATTGCTGATCAATCCATTCAGTGAAACTACATTGATTATCACAGGGTTCTTTTTTTTCTAACCTTGAATTACTAAGGTGGAAAGGAACTATATTGCTGATATAGTTTGCCGTGTATCTTCAGGTGTGGTGTGCTTGTTTATTGAGTGTTGAATGAGGCTTTGTTAGTGTTTAAGCTGTTATTTGCTTTTTTTGGTCATTGAGTGATGAGTGATTGTCAGGGATTGGTGGTTCTTTGTGAGAATGCAGCTGCCCTTTTATTTTAGGAAATGAACTTTTTTACATGCTAAAAATTTGTTTTATGAATGTTTGTTGTAGTGTCATATGTTATGACGATGATTAGCTAATTAATTGTGGTGGCTTCATCTATTATGCAGTTCTCTAGCAATGCGAAACCATCATGGAACCCTTCAAATTTGGGAAACAAGTGGGCAAGTTTTTCAAGAGCCTTCAGGTAATGTAGGATTTTGGTCATTTTGTAGAAAGGGAAATTTATGCATTGAGTTGTTGAAACCTTTGGTATTTTCTCATATGTATAGTTCAAAGCCTGCGGGCAATGATGTTATCGGTATCGACTTGGGTACCACCAATTCATGTGTTGCTGTCATGGAGGGAAAGGTAAGAATAATTTATGTTTTCAGTTAGATTTACTGTGATTTCCTATTCTATGGTGTTACTGATGTTTTTGAAATTATTTACAGAATCCCAAAGTCATTGAAAATTCTGAAGGATCTAGGACCACACCTTCAGTGGTTGCCTTCAATCAGAAGGGAGAGCTACTTGTGGGTACTCCAGCAAAACGTCAAGCTGTGACCAATCCTACCAATACTGTTTTTGGAACAAAGCGTTTAATCGGTAGGAAGTTTGATGATCCTCAGACTCAGAAAGAGATGAAAATGGTTCCATTCAAGATAGTACGGGCACCAAATGGGGATGCATGGGTTGAGGCCAATGGACAACAGTATTCCCCCAGTCAAATTGGTGCTTTTATTTTGACCAAGATGAAAGAAACTGCAGAGTCTTACCTTGGAAAGACAGTTACAAAAGCTGTGATCACTGTTCCTGCCTATTTCAATGATGCTCAAAGACAAGCAACAAAGGATGCAGGGAGAATTGCTGGTCTTGACGTGCAGAGGATCATTAATGAGCCCACTGCTGCTGCACTTTCATATGGTATGAACAACAAGGAGGGCTTAATTGCAGTTTTTGATCTTGGAGGTGGAACATTTGACGTTTCGATTTTGGAGATCTCTAATGGTGTTTTTGAGGTATGTACTTAACCCTTCAATTATTTAGATTGGTTTTGTTTTTTGTTCATTTTGGAAATTTAATTAATGGTTCTCATTTAGGTGAAAGCAACCAATGGTGATACATTTTTGGGAGGAGAGGACTTTGACAATGCTCTGCTGGAGTTCTTAGTGAGTGAATTCAAGAGAACCGAAGGAATTGATCTAACAAAGGACAGGCTAGCTCTGCAGAGGCTTCGTGAAGCAGCAGAGAAGGCTAAGATAGAGCTTTCATCAACAGCCCAAACTGAGATTAACTTGCCATTTATAACAGCTGATGCATCAGGTGCAAAGCATCTCAACATTACATTAACTAGATCTAAGTTTGAAGCTTTGGTAAATCACTTGATCGAGAGGACCAGAGACCCATGCAAGAACTGTTTGAAGGATGCTGGCATATCCACCAAAGATGTGGATGAGGTGCTTCTTGTAGGAGGAATGACCCGTGTTCCCAAGGTTCAAGATATAGTGTCAGAGATCTTTGGGAAGAGCCCTAGCAAAGGAGTAAATCCTGATGAGGCAGTTGCTTTAGGAGCTGCAATCCAGGGTGGTATTCTTCGTGGAGATGTTAAAGAGTTGCTTCTTCTGGATGTCACTCCTCTCTCTCTTGGTATTGAGACTCTCGGTGGGATATTCACTAGGTTGATCAACAGGAACACCACAATCCCTACCAAGAAGAGTCAGGTAAGGGTTTATCATAGCGTGGGTAGCATCTGTTGTTGCTTAGGCACCATTTTTGAGCTAACTGTTATTATAGTGTTGTTTGATCTGTTCTATAGCTAAATGTTATAGTGTTGATTTGATCTGTTCAAGCATCTGACTGTTGTTTCTTTGACCTTAGGTCTTCTCTACAGCTGCTGATAACCAGACCCAAGTGGGTATTAAGGTGCTCCAAGGTGAGCGTGAAATGGCATCAGACAACAAGCTTTTGGGAGAGTTTGAGCTAGTAGGTATTCCACCAGCTCCAAGGGGTATGCCTCAAATTGAGGTAACATTTGATATAGATGCCAATGGTATCGTCACTGTTTCTGCAAAAGACAAATCGACTGGAAAAGAGCAACAGATCACCATCCGTTCATCTGGCGGTCTCTCAGAAGATGAGATTGAGAAGATGGTCAAGGAGGCTGAGCTATTTGCCCAGAAAGATCAAGAGAGGAAGGCATTGATTGATATTAAAAATAGTGCAGACACCACTATTTACAGCATTGAGAAGAGTTTGAATGAATATAGGGACAAGATCCCTTCCGAAATTGCCAAGGAGATTGAGGATGCAGTTGCAGACTTGAGGAAGGCAATAGGTGGAGAAAATATTGAAGAGATTAAATCTAAGCTTGATGCTGCAAACAAAGCTGTGTCAAAGATTGGAGAACACATGTCTAAGGGAAGTGGTGATGGTGGTGCATCTGGTGGTTCACAAGGCGGCGACCAGACTCCCGAGGCAGAATATGAGGAAGTGAAGAAGTGAGTGGTTAGCTGATAATAACATTGTTAGTTTTGCTCGATTGGACTTTGAACAACATCTGAACATGAATTTTCTGAATTTTTACGTTCTCGTTAGGTTATATATTTTCTAGCGGTTTTGTATCTAAACAGTGGAGGCTGAATGTACTAGGAAGTTGTTTTGTTCATTTAAAAAAAAAAAAAAAACTGCATTTGGAGGGTGAACCCCATCTCAGTATATCAATAACCAAACCAAATTTTCCTGAAATGATTGTTTCTGAGTGGATTAAAATTGTCATACGGTTTGCTTCTGTAATGTGAATGAACGTTATAAGCTTCATAATAAGCCTACAAGCTGTGTTTATATTTTATGACAGTTGCAGGTTAAGCCTCTGTAAGCTTATGCACTGGGGGTGATTAAAATAATTTGTAATTGCTTAATTTGTGAATGAACAGAGTATCAAACTGAATTAATACAAAACTGATGTAAAATTCGACTATGTACAAATGAAACTAACTCGGTTCGGTTTTAACTGTTTTTTGTGTTTAATAAAAGCAAAACCTAATTAAAAAAAATTCAGTTCTCTTTTAAAATTAATTAAAATAGAACCGATGAAGAATATCAAATTGAATCAAGTTTATATATTATGAATTCTAATTGGATGTTTTGTCTATTCTTACTTGGGAATTAAAATTCTATTTTGAAAGTTTGTCCTTTCATACTATTATATAAATGTTTAGTTTCTTTAGAGAAAAAATCATCAAAAACATTAATTTGTTTTGTTAAATAAATTTTATTTTCTTTGGTTATTAAGAAATTATTTAGATTTTGCAGTATAAAGTATAAACGATACAGGAGAGATTTTTTGTCTTAGGCTGTATTCAACGATACCTTAACACATTTTTGAGTAGTTTTTAGTATTTTGACTGACTAAGACGCTAATAGCTATTTCGTATAGTGTTTAGTAATATAGTGTTTGAATTAGTTTTTTTTAGAAGTTTAACTCATATAACGTTTAACTTTTAGCATTTCATGAAAAGCTAATAGCTAAACACTATTAAAACAGTTAACAACTACTAAAACAACTAATTTTACCGAACAAATATTTAATATTAATAATCAATTTTGTATTTTGTTATTTAGATAATATATTTTAATTAATTTTTAATGTTTAAAAAATCGTGAAAAACATTAAACTATTGTTTGGATATAAACAAAGCATTAGATTTGCTATCGCTCGGTGCTTTGCAAAGTTAAAATGTCATTATTTGATATATAGTTTGCTACATAAACATATAACATGTTGTTCATGGTAAATATATATCACTTTTATGAGAAATTTAATACTCTTCAATTAACATGTTGATTTTTTATATTTGATTGTAACATTTCTCTATCGGATCTTTTAATGAAATTACAAATTAAAGGGATGAGTGTGATGTTCAAATTTGTACTCAACAGAGTTTTACCTTGATTTTGGGAAGACTTTATTGGCTTATTTGATTATATTACACTTACTTGATATAATTAACTTTTTCATTTAGAGTTATCAAGTACTCAATTATTTTTCTATATTTGATTGCAATGTCTATATGTTACATTTGTAAGAAATTTAATATTTTATTAATTAACACGTTGATTGTCTATATTTGATTATAAGATTTCTATATTAGTTCTTTTAATGATATTGCAAATTAAAGGAGGGTGAGGATGATATTCAAATCCGGACGTAAAAGATCTTTGCATTGGCTATTAGGCCAGAACTTTGTTTGTTTGGTTATTTTATAGTTAATTACTTGATGTAGTTAAGTCTTCCTTTCATAATTGTCAAGTACAAATTTAATTTTCTACGTTTGATAGCAATGTTTTTATATTACTTTTGTAAGAAATTTGATTTTTCTATATTTACTTATAATATTTCTAATTTAGTTTTTTAAATGATAAAATTAAATGAGGATGATGGTGATATTTAAATCAGGACGTAAAAAATATTTGTCTTGACTGTTATTAGGCGAGAATTTCTTTGGCTTGTTACGTTATGTTATAATTAATTATTTGATGTGGTTAATTCTTCTATTCATGGTTATTAACTATAAGTTTTTTTTTGATATGTATTTGATTGGAATATTTATCTAGTATTTTTGTAATAAATTTAATACTAGTAGATTGATTTTCTATATTCGATTTTAATGTTAATGAGATTATAAATTAAAGGGGTGGATGATGTTTAAATCTGGACACAAAATATCTTTACCAACTATTAGGCGAAAATTTTATTCCCTTATTAGTTGATATTATAATATTTAATATAATCAATTCTTTCATTCAAAATTATAAGCAGAAATTTATTTTTCTATTTTGTCTATTTCTTCCAAGTAATACAAAATTTTATTCAATGCAAACAAATGGGCTAATATGATAGGCTTCATGTTCATGGGCTCCAGCCCAAGCTAATTAACGGCCGATTAGAAATAGAAAAGCTTTCTTCAACTTCTTCTATTTTCTTCAATGTGCATTTGCTAGGGTTTTTGATTGCCGCTATCTGAAACAACAGGACTCTCAGTAACCAATCGAACATAATTGTATATCTTCTCTGTATCTTATAGGTACATACATGCATTGCTATTTCTTAGGTTTTCTTTCTCTCCTTTTCCATCTCGTTTCTTCAAATTTTCCTCTTTATTTACTTCGAAACGTTTCGCACGAAACGTATACGAGAGAAATTTTGACCCTCTGAACAGAATATATATTTCTTTTATGCTTATCTTTTTTTTTTTTTTTTTTTTTTTTTTTTTTTCGCCACGAAAAACGTATACGAGAGGGAAATTTTGACCCTCTGAAACAGAATATAATATTTTTCTTTTATGCTGATCTTTTTTTTTTTTTTTTTTTTTTTTTTTTTTTTTTAAAGTTAATTTTTTTTTTTTTTTTTTTTTTTTTTTTTTTAAATTAAACGCAATTGAAGTTAGCTAGCTCAGTCTTGTTTTCACTGGTAGGTAGTTTTTAGTTTTTAATTAATATATACATATTTGTTTGCTATTCATGGAATTTCATTTTGATTATTGTTTTTGTTCTGTTCTTTAGCGAATAGTTTCAACGAGAGAGCAATTTTTAGCTTAAATGGGAATCAAGAAAAGAAGCAGTTCTAGTTCTGTTGAGGAAGTAGAGAATATGTTGGATACAGATACTAAAAATGTAATAATTTGTAATCCTGCAAAGAAGAAATTGAAGAAGGGTAAGGAAAAAGATTTAGAAACAGAACATGGGGATTCTCCAGCTGGTGCAAGCCCCTCTGCTGTTCCTAGTATGAAACTTATCATGCAAAAAAGAAAAGAAAGGAGAGAAATGGATAAAGAAAGGCGCCGCCTTGCTTTAGAAAATGAGGAATCAAAACCTAAATTAATGGAAGTAGATAAGAAAGTTAATGAAACTGCGTTGCAGACTGTTGCCTCATCCAGAAGTGGTTTGCCTGAGTTCCATATTGATGTTTTTAAGGACTTAGCCTCCACAGATGTTTCTGTAAGAGAAGCTGCTGTTGAAAGATTGGTGAAAGAGTTGATAGAAGTTCAAAAGGCATATGAAATGGTTGAAAACAAGGAATTGATTGAAGGTGGGTTGAAGTTGGAAGCTGAAAAAGACGATGGGTTGAATAATTGTGCGCCTTCTGTTAGATATGCTGTGCGTAGGCTTATACGCGGAGCTTCATCATCAAGGGAGGTATGGTTAAATATTGTACTTTTTCTTTTTTAAATTTCTTCATCATCAAAGCTATGCATTTATGTATTTTATCTTTTAAATGAAGGTTAAGTTTTCCATGTGCATATTTTTTGGTAATGGAAATATGATGCACAATAAGTAAAATAAATAGTTTAATACTCTTGTCTGAAATTTAGTTCTTGTGAGTGAAATGTTCATTGGAATTTATAGTTGTTGTTGTACATTGGTTATAGGCTCTTAGCTGATGCTAATGACAAACATCACCTTGGTCTTTTACTTGTCTGGAATATAAATTATACTTATCTGGCAGCTCTTGGATCGTCTTGCATGGAAATTTTCATAAATTACATGTGGTTGTCACTTTTTTCAAGAATTAAATGTTGAGGGTGCAATTATCAGTTGTTGGTACAGTTGGGCCTGTAAAACATGCTAATTATTTAGGTTTACAAATTTACTTTTTAAATATGGTATTTGTTCTCTAATTCTCTTTTTCAAGGATATGAAATTATTAACTTATTCTTGTATGAAACTGTTTGAAGGGATATTTGCAGCTATATATGTGCAGCATGATACTCTTTTCTTTTCATTATTATTTTTTGAGGAATATTTGTATGTTGACATCGGCTAACCAGCGAGGGGGCTCTCCAGCTTTATAGGATTTACCCTGCATTATATATTATATTGACAAAAAACTTACATATGCTGCTTAAAGTGTGACAAATGTCTTAACTTTGGTTTAACGCAGCTTTGGCTTTGGTTTTCTAGTGTGCAAGACAGGGGTTTGCATTAGGTTTGACTATGGTGGTTGGTACAATTCCTAGCATCAAAGTGGACTCATTACTTAAACTAATAGTTGACACTTTAGAAGTTTCTTCATCAATGAAGGGTCAGGTGAGCAAGAATCATAATTCTGTGTGTTATATTGCTATATGTTCCACAAAAGTTTCTTAGTCAGTTACCTGTGTGCTGCAGGAAGTAAGGGATTGTCTGTTAGGTCGGTTATTTGCATACGGTGCTATTGCTCGATCAGGAAGACTGAGTAAACAGTGGATGTCTGATCAAAGGACTCCATTCATCAAGGAATTCATCAGTGATCTGCTCTCCCTCGCATCGAAAAAGCGATATTTGCAGGAGCCTGCTGTTTCTATTATTTTAGATCTGGTTGAAAAGGTATGATAAATGAAGAAACTGATTTCTCATTTGTTTTGCATCCTAATGATATGCTGACTAGTTATTGCTGGTTTCTGCTTCACAATGCTGTTTTTATCTCTGATCATGGACTCACACTCACTAGGAATGACTGTTTTCTTTATTTAATAAGTATGATGCCTTGTATAATTCGATTTCTCATTGAAATTAGTTGATTAGTTGGAATGCACTTAACGCTATTTTACGTTAACCATTTGATGGTTCTCCAATTATTTTTTTTTGTGGATATATTACTATTGTATTAAGTTATTTGTTTAAAATATTTGTGGTTATTAGTTTTAGAAGTCTGTGGCATGATCAGTTTGTTTTAGTTTTCTGGACAGTTAGCTATTGTAAAAGCTACCTGAATTTTGTGAAACTTTTGAATTATCCAAGCTCAATAAAATATGAAAAGGAGAAAAAATCTCAGAATATGATATCCAAGGTAAGATTTGTTCAGCATTGTGGTAATCTTTTCAATCATATTGTTATTGCACCATCAATCTTATTATTTTATGTATCTATATAAGAACAGATAATGTGATGAAGGGGATTCTTATAAAGATAAATATAGATATTAAATTTGGCCTGTATAGTAAGGGGGTCAACATTGTAGAAGTTTTGCCATGCATAGCTTTTTTCCCTCTAAGAAACTGATAGATTTCTTGTTTTAGGCTAATTATTTTTATCCATTTTTGGCTGTTGTATTCCTTTGACCTTCTCTTGCTTGCAACATTTCTGCCACCCTCCTTTATATTTTAATTTCATCATCCTGAATTACACCTCAGCAATACTACCTTTTGCTTCATGGTTTGTATTTGGCAAATTTATTTTACTTGGTGTTCTGTCTTCTATGCTTATTTAGTGGAATATCTATTTGTATAGCCACTTTACTGTTTACAATAATGATAGACCTCCTGGCTTCTTCTTGCTAATGAAGAACAGCACTGGCTATACCTATTTTCTAAGAAAAATCACTTATGGGTAATAAAGGTGCAATCCGAGGTCAAAGCAAGAAATCTGCAAAATTTTTTGACATTAATATGAAATTTCCCTGGGCAAAAGTGAAAAATTTTGCCCTTCCTATTTAAAATTACAGGAGTCAATCCTTCCCCTCAAAAATTTTCCTAACTGACAACTTTAAATCATTTAATGGTCATTACATCTGTTTAACAATTTTTTACAACCTTTAATGGCTGGATCTGCTGGTAGAATTTCACTGTGATTTTCGAATCCCAGCAATGAAACTGAGAAATGAAATCAGAATATAAATTCCCTTAAAGGGCAATGATTAACACCCTTCTTCTGGTGTTTTATGCTTTCTGCTTTCTGCTTTCTGTTTTTAAGTTCTGAAGTTCCTTTTCCTCCTCATGCTGGCAAAAACATATCTTAATCAATATTAAGATCCAAATATTATATAAATGCCAGGAAAATGCAAAAATGACAAGGGCCTTTATGATTTTGAGTGTTTTGGCTACACGGTACTAGCACTAAGTCTTTCCTTTCCACTTTTCATTATATTTGTTCCTTTCCAAAGCTTTTTGGAGTTTCGTTTGCTCTAAATTGTTCTTTATTTCTTAAAATTTGTCTATTGTGTGCACATGGGCAATGTATTAGCTAATTGTTTCCTGACTTGATGCTTTTAATGATGTCCTGTGATTGCAGTTGCCAACTGAGGCTGTATTGAATCATGTACTTGAGACTCCTAGTCTTCGTGAGTGGTTTGATGGAGCCAAAGTTATTGGAAATCCTGACTCTCTGCTTTTAGCCTTGAAAATTCGGGAGAAAATTTCTGTTGATAGCATGGCATTTGGAACTATTCTGCCATATCCATTTAGCCCTAGCAGACTTTTTTCCTCTGACCACTTGTCCTCACTTGTTAACAGGTTCAAGGTGATTATTAAACAAATATCTGTGCAAGTAATACCATGGAGGAAGAAAATATAAGACTTACTCAAAATGTTTTTGTTTGTGTGGAATATTGCAGGAATCAACATTCTGTCAACCTCGAGTTCACAGCTTGTGGCCTTGCCTGGTAAATATTCTTTTACCTGACACAGTTCTGCAAGCTGAAGATATGTTATCAGCTTCTAATTCTCTTAAGAAGCATAAAAGAAGTCGCAAGCCTAGCCCTTCTGAAGAAGAAACTGCAAAGAGTGTCCAGAATTTTTGTGAGATTGTCTTTGAGGGATCACTTCTTCTGTCGTCTCATGATCGGAAGCACCTGGCATTTGATATTCTGCTTCTCCTCCTTCCTAGGCTACCTGCAACCTTTGTTCCAGTTGTACTATCTTACAAACTTGTCCAGTGTGTAATGGATATACTTTCGACTAAAGACTCTTGGCTGTATAAAGTTGCTCAGCATTTTCTTAAAGAATTGTCAGATTGGGTTGGAAATGATGATGTCAGAAGGGTTGCTGTTATAGTGGCTTTACAAAAGCATAGCAATGGAAAATTTGATAACGTAACAAGAACAAAAACAGTTAAAGCTTTGATGGCAGAGTTCAAAACAGAGGAAGGCTACATGTTGTTTATTCAAAATTTAATGAACATGTTTGTGGATGAAGGTCACACTCCAGAGGAACCTTCAGATCAGAGCCAGACAACTGATGACAATTCAGAGATAGGTTCAGTAGAGGATAAGGATTCAGGTGGTGCAATGGGAAATTCTGATTTTTTGAAAATTTGGGTGGTGGAGTCCCTTCCAAGTATTTTGAAATATCTGAAACTGGATCCTGAAGCTAAGTTTCGGGTGCAGAAGGAAATTTTGAAGTTTCTGGCGGTGCAGGGCCTGTTCTCTGCATCACTCGGATCTGAAATTACGTCCTTTGAATTGCAGGAGAAATTTAGGTGGCCAAAAGCAGCTTCATCAAGTGCTATTTGCAGGATGTGTATTGAGCAGATCCAGCTTTTGCTGGCAAGTGCTCAGAAGACAGAGGGGTCACGTTCTTTGACAAATGGTCTTGAGCCTAATGATCTTGGATCTTACTTTGTGCGATACCTTAGCACGTTACGCAATATTCCTTCAGTTTCTCTATTTCGACCTCTGAGTAACGAGGATGAAAAGGCATTTGAAAAATTGCAAGAAATGGAAACTAGGCTTTCTAGAGAGGTAAACTTTGTAATCTTGCTTCCCTTTTGCAATATTACCAGTGCATAAATTTACATGTTGTATATATTTAATTTTAGGGATGAGATGCATATTGATATTGGATCTGAAACAATCGAATATCATTTTCTGATAAATCAATTGAGGTGGTAAAAATTGAAGGATAGGGGGTTTGCAATAACTTGGCTTTTACTTTCAAATTTGATGTTCAATGTTTTAAATTAGTACTTACAAATTTTTTTGTCCATGTGGGCTTTAGCCAAGTGTATTAATGGTGAGTCCTAAGCTAATTGCTGTTTCTGGCTTTTCCATATTTGGGTGTTTGAAAACTAGTTTGTTTGTGCTCAATCATTACTTTCATGCCTTTGTATTTTTCATTCTTAAATTGTTATTTTTGGACACACTATATTTGTCATAATCTTTTGGAAGAATGTCCAGCTGATAATATGTTGTAATGCTGCCAGGAAAGGAATTCTGGGCCTAGTGCAGATGCAAATAGATTGCATGCACTGAGGTACTTACTGATCCAGTTGCTGCTTCAAGTGCTCCTTCGACCAGGAGAATTTTCAGAAGCCGTTTCTGAACTTATTATCTGTTGCAAGAAAGCTTTTGCAGCTTCTGATCTCCTTGATTCCTCAGGAGAAGATGAAATGGATGGTGATGAAATTCCTGAGTTAATGGATGTTCTTGTAGATACATTGCTTTCATTATTGCCACAGTCATCGGCTCCTATGCGATCTGCTATTGAACAGGTGTGTGCAGTAATGGCTAGTTTAATTTCTGGATGTGTATGTTAAAGATTTGTTTCTCCATATTCTCAGCATACAATTTGGCTTTTCATTTGTTAAATATTTGAAATAGTTGCTTGGACGAATCCATATTTCTGCTGTGGTAGTTTGCAAGACGAATCAGAATTTACTCAAATACTTGGTCAACGTATCAGCCACTTCACTGAATAGTTTGCAGGATATTATAGCATGTGTACTATGTTCAGGAAAATTGTTTCTAATCATTAATTTTTCTTTAGATGGCACTTGTCACTAATGTAGAATTTTTGAACTTTTCTTGATATATGTTTTCAGGTTTTCAAGTATTTCTGTGATGATGTGACAAATGATGGACTGCTTCGGATGTTGCGTGTTATAAAGAAAGATTTGAAACCAGCTAGACATCAGGAAGCAGATAGTGAAGATGATGATGAAGATTTTCTTGGTATTGAAGAAGATGAAGAAATCGACGAAGCTGAGACAGGTGAAACAGGTGAAGTTGAAGAGCAGACAGATGACTCTGAAGCGATAGTTGAAGCTGAGGAAACTGAAGAAGCTGTCAAAGACTCAGCTGAAAATTCTGATGATTCTGATGGAGGAATGGATGACGATGCAATGTTCCGAATGGATACTTATCTTGCACAGATTTTCAAAGAGAAAAAGAATCAAGCCGGGGGTGAAACTGCTCAGTCCCAGCTTGTCCTGTTCAAACTTCGTGTCCTTTCACTGCTGGAGATTTACCTGCATGAAAATCCAGGCAAGTAGTTCATTTCATTTGGTAGATCAGTTCCTTGCATAAGAAACTTAATGTCTTTTGCTTATATCCCAGCAATTATTTTGGGATCAATGACTATGGTTTAAGAATTAATTCAGTGGGATGTTCTTTATTGTCATTGAGACAACTAATAATGAAACTCCTACCAGCTCTTCCTTTAGTGGTTAAAGGAATTTCCAATCTAAGTGCAAGACTTCTTTGTTTACAGTTTATACATTTTTTTCGGGTCAGAATTTTGCCCCCCCTCCCTCTCTCTTTTCTCCCTGCCTAAAGCTGCATCTTTGACTTTGTGTCGTTTGGTCTTCATTTTACAGGTAATCCTGAAGTTCTGACTGTGTACTCAAACTTGGCTCGTGCACTTGTAAATCCGCATACTACAGAAATCAGCGAGCAACTTGGACAGCGCATATGGGGAATCTTGCAAAAGAAAATATTCAAAGCAAAGGACTTTCCTAAGAGTGAATCCATCCAACTATCCACACTTGATTCTTTGCTGGAAAAGAACTTGAAGTTGGCATCAAGACCATTCAAGAAGAAGAAGTCTGCAGCTCCATCAAAGAAGAAGCAGTTAGCGTCTTGGAAGCGCCATAAAATGATTGTTTCCCTTGCTCAGAATTCTACATTTTGGATTCTGAAAATCATTGATGCAAGAAATTTTTCTGACTCTGAACTGCAGAGAGTTATTGATATTTTTAAAGGGGTATTGGTGGAATATTTTGACAGTAAGAAGTCTCAAATAAAATCTGAGTTTTTGAAAGAAATAATTCGGAGGCGACTATGGATAGGGCACCATCTCTTTGGCTTCCTTTTGGAGAAATGTGGCGGTGCAAAGTCAGAGTTTCGACGAGTTGATGCGCTTGATCTAGTGATGGAAATATTAAAGTCAATGGTTTCTTCTGGTACAGATGAAAGCAGTCACAATGAATCAAAGAAAATTTTGAAAAGCCATTTGCAAAAGCTCAGTCATCTGGTAAAGGAATTGGTGATGAATATGCCAGAGAACAAGTCAAGGCGGGCTGAGGTGCGGAAATTTTGTGGCAAGCTCTTCCAGATCGTGTCATCCCATGACATCACCAAGTCTTTTCTTAAAGATCTTACTCCTGAGACCCAAGCTGCTTGTGAATCTCAACTTGGTGAACTATTTCTCAATTTGAAGAAGGTTAATTGATGACAATAAGAATCATTGTCCTCCATAATACAATATGATGCCTGCCCTGTACTTCAAACATGAAACAGTTATGGAGAAGATAAAACCACCAACTTACTATTGGTATGATTATTTGAATCTTGTCCCAGCTGCTTCCTTTATCATAGTTTTATGTATTTCATTTATTTTTGAAAATATGCAGCAAGTTTTGATACATGAATTGCAGTATATGATTAGTTAAGACCATGAACATACGATTTCTTCAATTCTGAGTTTGCTCCGTTTTACCTCAGAGATTAAAAAACTCTGGCATTTTTAATTTCCTATTAGTTCATTCATCAATGTAGATATTATTTGCTTCTGTTTGTTAATGGAGCTTAATCAAACGTGCTGACTGTGATGTTCATTTTTGACCGTGTCATCTTACTGGCTATTGGACGTAATGGGTTGCACGTGTAGCTAAAACCTGTAAAAGGAGGCCAAGCAACAGGAAGATTGTAATGACAGCTATGGTACAAAATAGAGTAAGGTTTTGATTCCCAGCAGATCCTGTCCAGCCTGACCTTTAGAGTATCTGGTAGGCAAAGCATAGGGAAAGAGATAAGTAACAATATAGTTGAAGCTAAATTTAATGGTGACCGCTGAAATTTCTTAAGTGCTATCACATCCTTCATTTGAAGGAATATATTAGTCAATCACTTTGTAGATCAGGTGGCTAATTTTATTACAGATTGTTCAAACCAAAGGGCAGCTTGTTCTAATATTGTCATTAATGAAGGGCAGTCATTCGTTTGATGTTATGCATATGATTTCTTTTCACTAGATATTTGTCAAAAGAGGGTTAAATGGGTCATTTTGGAGCTGAGAAAATATCTTGGGCATCTAGAAAGCAACCCACTAGCAGGTCAATGTAGGAAACGTCCATAAAGTTATGGTAATTAGGAGGAAGCTTCCCTTAAATAAAGGAATAATTTTGATAGCACTAAGAGACTAATTAGACTGTGATTTAGATGGTTGAACCTATGCTAATGCACCTGTTAATTAATTACATTTGCTAAATTTCATTAGTAAACCAAATCATCAACATGCAATTCTCTTATATCTTTCTTTGCTCAACCATTTGGAATCATCCTTCTGGGCCCACAATCTAGTATTTTAAGAAAAGACTAATAGTAGTAGTTCGGTGAACCTTTAATTTGGGAAATTGATCTTTTTAGACTTAATGGTGTGTTCAATTTCAAACCTTTTTAACATCCCTCATCTGCTTGTCCCATCATTTTATTTTGTATAATCCTTCAAATGTTTTTGACTTTATACATGGATTTTGGCTTCTTTTTATATCCCAAGTAGACTCGTGATCAAAGTGATTGGCCCTTCAAAAAAAAAAAAAAATACAAAATTCAGAATTTAAAAAAAAAAAATAAAGCTATAAATATTACACGTGTATGACAAGAAGAGGTGAAAAAAAAATATCTTATCAAAATACTATTTATAGGAACTTGAGGCCAGCTATAATTGGGAATAACAGGTTGGCAATGCACCAAAGGCATGATATGTTGTTTGGTGTCTTCACCCACCTTCCATAATGCCTGCCAAAATGTGTTATTTGATGGAAAGCTGCACCAAACCTCTTGTGGCAAGGCAAGAATGTCCTCTTCCCCCTCTTCTTCTTCACTTTTTGGGATCCCCTTCGTGCAATGCTTAAGCAACTGGAATGAGATAGCAGTCGTAGTTTTTGTTGCTTTTTTCATCAGCCAATCATATAGCCAAAGTACAAGCAAATGCAAGGAAGCTAAACAGCCTTTTTGTATTAAGAGTTGTAATGTGTACAAAGTAATTAATCTCTAGTTTACCTCTCTCTCTCTCTCTCCTCTAGCCCTAACCATCTACTAAACTTTTCACTACCTTTCCTAAAGCTCTAACCTACAATTTGATTGGGTCTTTTTACACAAAAGCAAATTACTTCTTCCAAAGTTGCAGCCTCCCTCCATCCAATGTTAAGCCCTACTACCAATTCTTCCAAAGAGCAACCAACAAACAACACCACAATTGAAGAAACCTCCCTGTACAAAGCATTTTTTGCAACCCTCATGAGGCCTATTTTACCAAAATCAAGTTATAGACGTTTTTTTTTTTTTTGCCAAAACAACAACAAAATGCAGTACCTCTTCCATATCCTTGTCAAGGAAACCTCAAGAACCTATTCTGCAAAGCTTTAAAGCAATTCCACTTTTCTTCTATTTCAAAGTCAAGTCCTACGAATGTGCATCCTCTGAATCACTCCCTGAAGAGCTTCCTGAATCAGAATCTGCAAAAATTTTCGAACTCAGATTTGGCAATAATTGGTAATCCTACTATGAGAGACCAGAATGATTTCTAAAGGGATAAAAACCATACCGCTCGAAGACGATGATTCATCACTTGAACTGCTTGAGCTGCTAGAACTGCTACTAGCACGGCCATTGTCCTTTTCAATCTCAACCGGTGGGAAACTGCTCATTGGCATTTCATCACCAATGTCTACCTCCTCGTCTCCAGCATCCCCTTTCTTTGGCTTTTTTGCCTCATTTGCAACATCTATTCTCTCATTCCCAATTGCCTCCTGTATCAATGCCATCAAGAAATCAGAACGATATAAACTATATTTGATGCAGCAATTAGTACAATGCGTGCAATTTTTTGAAGTAAAAAACCACAAACATGATAAAAGTGTATACCTTGTTGCCATCACTAACAGCAGTAGCCGCATTGTTGATACCCATCAATGCTTGACGCTTAATCTTGCTGACCATCTTCTTATAATTGGTCACAAACCGATCAAGTTCCCATAGGGTCTCTGTATCAACAGCTTCAATATCTAGTTCAATCTCATCCCCCTCCTGCCTCAAATGCCCATTTCGCTTCCTAATTATCTGTACCACTTGCTCCATCTTCTCTTGAGGTAAACTCTGCAACCCAAGTCCCAACTTGTGCTTTTCCTCGAGAGACATTTCTCTTTTATTAGGATCTTTGGCTTTGGGTTTAGGTAGCTTCACGGGCTTCACTGGGGGCGCTCGCATTGGCGATGGAGTCCTCACAGGCAACTGTGCTGTAGATTGAGGATTAGACCCACTCGGTTGAATTGATTTCCCAATTGGGTCAGATTTCGGTACAATTTGCATAACGTTTTCCTGATCTTTCTTTATTCTATCTGTATCACCACCGCGATTGGAGATGTGATCCCAAGAACTAGCTTGCACTTCTTGAACCTGTTCTCGTTCGTGCGTATGATCTTGATCTTCATCCCCCACTTTATCTCTAATAGGTTTGTACCATTCCTCAAATCTTAAGAGTTGCTGCTGGGCGAGATTATACACTTCGTGTCCTTTAGGGTTGTATTTCATGGCATTATTGAAGGTCAATCTAACATCAGCAGCAAAATCCACAGGCGAATCGTACATATTTTTACCCAATTTAGACTTTATGGTACCCAAATCCATAGGATTCTTAACTATATCAAAATAATCATGGAGCATGAGACCCTCGACATCTACAGGCATATTAAAGATATAACCATGTTTGTGCTTCATCAATTTCGTCAGAATCTGAGCGCATTTTTTCATCAACTGGGCATTCTCCGGATGATTCGATCGCTTCACATCTTTTCCTCCAAATCCTAAATTTGTCGCAGGAAACGGCCGTTTGTTCCCCAATATTTTCTTGTTGCTGTTGTTACCGATTGACTTCTTGTTGTGGAAATTGGAGCTGGATCTGATCTGGAACTCAGAGGAATCGATTCTACTCTTTAATTGTCGGATCTGTTCAAGCTCCGCTACCAACCGATTTTTCAGCTCCAGCAGCTCCTTTTTCGAATAAGACGCGATATTAAACGTCACGTACCCACCCGTGTTGAAATCGCTGGCCGGCCTTCGATTAATCGATGAAGCATCGTCAGATGCAGCTGATTGCATCAATGCTTGAGGTCCATCGAAGTTGACAGCAGGTGTAGCCGCATGCCGTTTTTTAGACAATTTAGGATTAGGGTTAGGGTTAGAGAAAGGGACTTTGCCCATGAATTTTGCACCACCTCTCGGCTGTGGCTGCGTCCAATTTGGTTCGTTACGATTCGCTAAGACTGCAGACGCCATAAGGTAGAAGGGCTCCGGCCGTCCTCCGGCGTGGATTTCCCAATTTGGATGACAAATAACAAATCATGAATCGGACAGAGCGTGGCCCCACGCGCAACCTCTATTGACTCACGCGCCGCTGCAAATATTGACCCGCGAAAAAGAGAGGAAAAAATATTATTTATCGATTGAAGAGGTTAACGCGAAGGGTTAGGGTATGGGGATTTCCCTGGTAAGAGCGAAGAAGATAGGGAGGTGAGGGTCGCTTCTTAAAGGCGATGAGATCTGCCCTGTGAGATATCGGGCAAGATCTGAACCGTTAAATCTATTTGATTTGTTGATCTACTGCCCGTGAAGCTGACCGAGTGACCTGGCATGGACGGTCAGGATATGGAATTGGATGTACGTGGCAGTGTTTATGACCTTTGGATTTGGAGAAAGAAGTGGTGTTAGGGTTGAGATTGCGATTTGGGGAGATGTGGGGGAATTTGGGTTGAATTTGTCGTGAATTTAGGGTTTTGTGGAGGTAGGGTCCACTGAGAGATGACGTGGATAAAAGCCAACTGGTGGTCCGGCGTAAGCGAGAAGCTACGCGCATGTGATTGGTGATTGTGAAAGCGCGCATGAAAATTGAGTCTCTATTGGAGGGTGATTCCGTAGTTACATAATCTCAAAGCAGATGATTGGAGTGATCCACTACTGCATTCCTTAAAAATACATAGCACGAAATGACGAAAGCACCCTTTGCTTTGTAAATACCAAATTTTGCTTTGGCAACCGGGGAGGAATTGTAAGGTAGTGTCAGTTAACCAACACAGCAATGGACTTGACCAATGAAGATGTGACACATCAGCAAAGTCAGGCTGAGTCGGAACTCTACTTTTTATGCTTCTTTAACCATAGTTAACCAATAATTATGGTGGGAAAAATTCCCGCCTGAAAAAACCTGAAATTGTTTTGAATCTTTTTTTTTTTCCTTCACGAAATTATTACATCCAAACAATGAATAATGATTCTTCTAGTTTTCCATTCTTTTGTTTTTTTTCTGGGAAATTTAGTTTTTTATTCTAGAATATCTTTTTATTAATTTAAATTAATTTTTTTAACTCGATATTAGAAAATATTATGGATAGTATGAATTGATATTAGATAATATTATTTTACTGATTTTGCAAATTCAGAACACAAAGGAATTATGTTTTTCTGAGAAAATAGTGACTGATGTTTCTATATAACTATGGTAATTTTCTAGGCATTTAAGACATAATTGCCCAATCAGCAAAATATGTATGTGAATTATAAATATCCATTAGTTTGCATTAATTAAATTCTAAACAAAACTAGTTTAAAAATTAGAGATTTAACAAAATAAGGTTTATTTAGTTTTTGTTTCTATAATTATTCTTCTATCTGTTGCAGATTAAATGAACATTGTAGTTCTTGATTTTCTATATTGGGCTGCCAATTATCAAACTTTAAAAGCTATTTATAGTAAAGTTAACTAATTTATAGGTTAATATCTAATTAAGTTTAAAAAATAAGATTAATTAAGCTATAAGTTTGGCATTTGATTCTCTAAATCTTTTATTTTAAATACAAATAAGAGCTCAAAATATATATTTTTTAAATGTTTTTTCAAAATTATATGCCTTTTGCTTTATTATTATGTTATTCTTTTTTTTTTTTTTTATGAATAAGATTAATTAAGACTTATAAGTTTTGGCCATTTGATTCTCTAATCTTTACTTTTTAATACACAATATAAGAGCTCAAAAATATATATTGTTTATAAATGTTTCAAAATTATACTGCACTTTTTGCTTTATTATTTAATGTTATTACTTTGTTGTTTTTTTTTTCTTTTTTTTTTTTTTTATGGTGTTTAGTGTTCACCACATTATAAAAGATATATTAAACTCCTAAAAAAAAGATATATTTATATCTCATTTACTTATTAAGGTTGACATTGTAACATATTCTAATTTCTAATCATCTTTTTAATATGTCTAAATTTAAGTTTCTAATTTATGACATGTCATGAAGTTAACTAGAGAAATTAATATTGTCTCATTAATTTCATTAATAAAAATAATGAAATTAGAAATATTGTTCTTGTGTCATTAATACGTATTCAAGACATGAATTTATGACGTCTCATCGAGTATAATTTTCTCATTCATGATTGTTATAGGGGTCAAAAACTATTGAATATGTATTTATATATTCGTATCATAGGCGGTTGTATTCAGATAAAAGTTTTTTTTTAAAAGAACAGTAATTTAAATGTCGATTAATGTAATTGACTTCTGATAATCCCGCGTATTATTTTTTAAAAAAGAAATTTCATTACAAGAAAACTATATATAGAAATTCCAATTACAAGAAACTATATATACGTATATATAATATAATAGATTATATATATACTTATTATATATAATATATAATATAATAAATGTTATACTATATTTTTAAATATAAAAGTCTAATTAAAAAACCACCATATACATAAATAAATAAAACGCACGCATCTTAATTTAAAGTATTGATCAAGTTGACTAGCTGTTCTGCTGTTGCTCCACTGGCTGGCTAATAATAACATGTTTCTATATTTTTATATAAAAAGTCTAATAAAAAACCACCTATATAAATAATAAAAAGACGCAATCTTAATTTAAAGTATCTGATCAAGTTGACAGCGCGCTTGCTCCACTTGGTGGCTATTCATGGCCACTATTCGACTCATGCTATTTTTACAAGTCCAATCTGATCAACTTCAAATTCTTTTTAGTAAGAAAGAGATATGCACTTATTTTTGCATAACTGTCCAAATAACAAAATACCGTAAGTAAAATCACCATGATTGTGAGAACAAAATTTCAAAATATGAGCAACAATTATTAGAAATGATAAGAAACATAATTTAATTTCTTAAAATTGAATAAGCAATGCGTCAAAAAAATTGATGGAGCAAGGAAATAAAAAACATAATTATTATTATCTATTTCATTTGTCCTTTCATATATTGGCCAATATGTCTATTTATGCTAATTTATTTACCTTCGCTAATTATTTTGCTAACCTTTAATCTATTTTGCAAACTATTGTGTATAAACTATAAACCTAAAATGGAGCATTAATGTACTCTAGCTGTTAGCTCTTAGTCTTATTTAGACTGTACTTGGCAATAACTTTTTAAATAGCAATTAAAACGCTAAACGCTACTTAAAAACCTATTTGGTAACTTATCATTTGGACTAGCTTTCAGAGATTATGATGCACTTTGTGGAAAGTTAATTCATGTTTCTTTTAGTGTTTCATAAAAAACTACTCAAACAGCTAACAACAACTAAACGCTACTAAAACAATTAACAGCTACCAAAACAGTTAATTTTGCCGAACGGATAACTTATAAGTTGAAGTATTTAATGGATTATAAGTTGACGTATAAGTTGCCGAACAGACAATTTTAACGTATAAGTTGCCGGACAACTACCACAAAATTAAAATAATTTATATTTTTAAGGTTAATGTAAAATATTAGAGAAAATAAATTTTGTTAGAAATCTATTAAAATTGAAAAATCACATGACATATTTTTCGTGCTTTCCAAAACAGAGTGGGAAAAAAAGAAAAAGAAAAATGAAGTAACCTAGTGGAAAAGCTTCCAGCCTGAGGATATATATTTTTGAAATTTTCCCAAGTCGAAATGATAGTAAGGAAATCTAGAAGTGGCGTTTTGCTTTGAATCTAGAACATTCCATAAGCCAAAGGTTAGAACAAGTATTTGTATGATGGCAATTGGCATCTTCTTCTCAAGCATTTGCATTTTTTGACTAGGTATTGGAAATTCCCATCACACCTCACTTCTAAAAGGATCATACAAATGAAAATGACCTCTCTCCATGTCTCCTTTCCCCTATTATTTATTTTTTATTTTAACCATTGTCTTCTGTATCTATAAAATATGTATTTATATGTATTTTAAGCCTCACATGTTTCACAACAAATAAGGTATGTAGCGATGGAGCTAGAAATTAAAATTTAAGAAAATAAAAAAAAATTCAAGCGTTAAAAGGGGTAAATTTTAGAAACTTACTATTTTAAAGAATAACAAAAAATATGTTATAACGTAATTAATATATGGCAAAACAATTTTCTCAAGATTATATTTTTCTAGAAAAATAATTTATTTTGGTTATACCATATAAAGTCAGTTGAAAATTATTCTTTAAAGTTCCAAATGTATTGAAAAATATTTTTTTAATTGATAAAACCATAAAAATGTTTTAGATTCATAAAATTTATTATTTCAAAAATACATAAGAATTGATAAAAGATAATTTTTACTAAAAATATTTTTCATTAATCAATTTTTTTATTTTCATTATTTTTTTTTCACAAAATAAAAAACTGTTTTTATTTTTAACCGAATAAAACAATCTGGAAATGATGTTCCAAAGTTGAATTGGATTTGCAAAGATGAGTTCATAATTCTAGATTTTTATTTTCTTTGTTTTTTGGTAGGCAAATGGGTATTCTTTTGGTTTTGGGCTTTTTGAGGCTTTTTCAGCCCAAAATGGCATATCTTCTCCGTGGGCCTTTGCTGTTTACTGTTTCTTCGGTTGGAAGAGAACTCTGTTTGTCATGTCCTTTATTGTGTAATGATTTTGTGTCATACGACTCCCCCTTTACGGGACCTCAATGATTATACATTATGTTGAATGTTTAATTATGTCTATGTTGATTAGCCTACTTGGTTGGTGAAGTTTAGAATTTTATAGTTTAGTTTTTTGTTGGTATAATTAAATTTCATGGAATTTGATGAAATTTATTTGTAAATTCATATATTGTATTTCATATAAATTAAATTTTATTTGAAATTTTATGAATTACTAGAATTTATAAATAAATTTATTTTGTATTTATTATTGATAAAGAATATTTTTTTTACAAAAATATGTATGACAAAGACATAATAAATCCTTTATTAAAATTATAATAATTTTAACAAAACGTATTAATTCATATATCTCGTACACATTCAATTGATATAAAATCCTAAAGTATCAACCTTCTTGCACTATAGCACTAGAACAATTACTTGCATACAAAAATCCATTATTCTCACATTTTTAGCTATTTAAATTAGAAATATTTGATGAAAGTAGTTCAAAACAGAAAATAAAATTTTAGGGGAATACCTCTAAATAGCAAGAAAACGTGAGAAATCGATACTTTAGCAAGAGAATGAGCTGCCATATTAGCTTATGGTCGAACCCACTTGGCCTGAAAATCTTCGACTTCACTAATAAGAATTCTGCAGTCCCTAATAACATTTCCATACCCGTTATTAGGAATATTTGAAGAGAAAAGACTACACTAAACCTCCCTACAGTCCATTTTCACATCCACTTGACATAGACCTTCTTAACTATTTAACTTAAAATGATAAAAAATAAAATTATTTGTTTAATTAGTTGAAATTAAAGGAAAAAATAATGGATATACTTGTCAAAAAAAATTAATTAAAAGTTAAATACTAAATATTAGAATGTTTCATATTTTATAAAAAGCTCTATTAACTTGTAACACTATAATACAAATTATATTGTCGAACGCTGCAATTAATAAAGATAGAGTTTTGACTTAATCAAAATACTACGAGGACAGCCCTTAGGCACACAATCAATCATCAGATGAATAGTTGAGTGCCAAGCTTAATTGACATATGATGACGGGCACAAGAAATATTAATGCGTAGCAAAACGAAAAGGGAAAGGCTTAATTAAGAGAAATTAAGATGAATAGTTTGGTTCTTGAACTGGGTTTAAAAGTTGCTTTCTGGTTTGCCCATTGCTATGCTATAAACCATTTTAGAAATCAATTTCACAAATGAACAAGTAGAAAAATAGAGATAATTTGGTTCAAGATGGCGTATTTTCTCTAAAAATTTTATTTTTTAAGAAATATATTTCTAAAAAAAATTATTTTCCAATAAATATAGTTTGTATTTATTTGATATGCAAATTAACTCTGAAGAATTAAAGTTAGCTAAACGTATAGATTTACCATTGTACTTTATGAAAAAAATCTTGTAACGTTCTGATTTTGCAAAGGATGTATTATGCTTTTGAAATTACGAATGTATTATGTTCAAAAATTGAGAGTGTCATAAGATTTTCACATAAAGCGTACTACTTGTGATCGAAATTGAAGATATCATAAGAATTTTTCACATAAAGTGTACCGATTGTGATCGAAAAGATTCAAACTTGAGACCTCTCACTCATCACATAAAGACTAATCGGACCACCATCTGATTGGCGAACCAATTGAATTTTTCTTTCAAGTTAACAAAAGATAAAAATGTTCATAATATATAATTCAAAGTGTATATAAATAATGTATTACAAGATATCAAGTTTTTCCTGTGTAAGTTCATTTATATAAGAGAAAACCAAACAATAAAACTTTATACACTCTGGAAAATTGCATTTAAGTCATATTAGCAAGGCATACTTCTCTTTTTTTAATTAATATTGTTAACCTTAGTTGTAAATTTCCTTGAGAATTTCTATTCACTCTATTCTGGAATTGGAATAAATACATTTTCCAGCCTCCTCTTTAAAATTCAAAGTTTAAATTCTTCCCCGACCAAGTATGTTTTGCTTAATGCAAAGGTGGTTTGTTCAGAGGAAGAAAGAAGAGAAAATCCAAACAAATGGTTTCATATTGTTCTTTAGAATCAAACAGACGAACAAAAACTTTTAACATTTTAACATAAAATTACATATCAAAAGAAGAAAAAAGAGGTTACATTTTGCAGAAAATAATAATAATAAGGGATTACAACACCAACAGAAATGACGGATCTCAGCAACATTCTTTGAACAGACAGCAGCAAAATAAAGCTGCAAGACTGCATAATCAAACAAATTCATCATTAATAATTAATATTTATTTCTTTTCTATATGTTCAAATTAATAATTATTTAATTTTAGGAAATATTTATTTTAGTTCAAATCTTTACTCCTAACATACCACATAATTAATGAAAAAGAAAATTCCTGAAATTTATTTTAATATATCCACTTTAGTGCATACTAAAACCAGTAATTTTGAAACTGAATAATATATACTATAAATTAAATCAATATGTAGAATCTATTCATACCATCGTTCTAAACAGCCTGCTAGTTTCAGTGGTTGTGGCGGCGGTGGATGTGGATAAAATTGCAAAGGTGTCATCACCGGTGGACGTCCTTGATTAACACCTACAATTACACAAAACCACAATAATTTATATACAAAAAAAAAACACTCAAAATTAAGATTCTAACGAGTCAAATTGCTCGTGAGTTACTAAAAATTCGATTTAGAAAAAGCTCGAGTGTTTATCCAACTTACTGCATACTATATTAGATATAATTAGTGAAAAATAATTATTAGTGAAAAATAATTATTATATGAAGAATTAGAAAAAGAAATTAACAAGTACCTCGAGTCTTTGGTTCATCCATATTCTAGAAAAATATAACACAAGAACAAGAGTTAATGGAGGATGAAACGTGAAGGTTTAGGTACTCTCTCTGCACAAATGTATAAATTGATAAAGCTGAAGGAATATGCTTATATTGAGAAGAAAGAAAATGAAAGCTCCAGAAATTACTATGCAAGAACCTTGAACATGCAATAGATGAAAATAGAGAAAGGAGTAAGAAATATTTTTATTTATCATGCCATTGAATTATATAATGTATTTTTATTACAATTTGATTATGGTAGCTAGGATTAATGTATTGTTCTCCAAAAATTAGTATATAGAACAAAAATGTATTGTTCTCAAAATTTTGATTATTCTGATCTTGATTAGTATATTTGAAATAAATATTAATGATATTATTAATTTTAGTTAATTATTTAAAAAATTGAAGAACTTTTAATATATTAATGATATTAATATTAATGGTAACTTGATTAATATCTAAGTATAAAAATAATGCAAAAATAATTTTTCATGCTTAGATATTTATTTAGAGTAAAAATCCAATCTGTCCAAGCAACACAAGATTCGAAGTTTCCATAGAAAGGCTTAAACACCTGTTGGTTGCTTTCTTTATACAAATTGCATTTTTTTTTTTTTTTTAATATTCCTTACACATTAAAAAAAGCATTAGCATAATGTCACGGACAAATTCTGTGACCGTGTTAGGCCCTCATTTTCATACTCCTTATTAGGAATATTTGAAGAGAAAAGACTACACCAAACCTCCCTACAGTCCATTTTCACATCAACTCAACGTAGACCTTCTTAACTATTTAACTTAAAATAATAAAAAATAACATTAATTATTTAATTAGTTGAAATCAAAGGAAAAAATAATGGGTATACTTGTCAAAAAAAAATAATAACTAAAAGTTAAACACTAAATATTAGAATGTTTAATATTTTATAAAAAGTTCCATTAACCTCTAAAATTATAATACAAATTATATTATTGAACGCTGCCATTAATAAAGATAGAGTTTTGACTTGATCAAAACACTAGCAGGGCAGCACTTGGGCACACAATCAATCATCAGATGAATAGTTGAGTGGCAAGCTTCGTTGACATATGATGACTGGGTTTAAAAGTTGCTTTCTGTTTTGCCCGTTGCTATGCTATAAACCATTTTAGAGATCAATTTCACAAATGAACCAAGTAGAAAAAAAAAAAAAAAAGATATAATTTGGTTGAAGATTGCGTATTTTCTCTGAAAATTTTATTTTTTAAGAAATATATTTCTAAAAAAAAAAATATTTTGCAAGGGACGTATTATGCCTTTGAAATTACGAATGTATTATGCTAAAAATTGAGGATATTATAAGATTTTCACGTAGAGCGTACCAATTGTGATCAAAATTGAGGGTATTATAAGATTTTTCTCATAAAACGTATCAATTGCAATCGAAATGACTCAAACTTGAGACTTCCTACTCTTCACATAAAGACTAACCAGACTACCACTTGATTGGCGAACCAATTGAATTTTTCTTTCAAGTTAACAAAAGATAAAAATATTCATAATATATAATTCAAAGTATATATAAATAATATATTACAAGATAACTGTTAAATTAATTACACTTAACAAAAATTAACATCTCAAGCTTTTCCTGTGTAAGTTCATTTATATAAGAGAAAACCAAACAATAAAACTTTATACACTCTCTGGAAAATTGCATTTAAGTCATATTAGCAAGGCATACTTCTCTTTTTTTAATTAATATTATTTACCTTAGTTGTAATTTCCTTGAGAATTTCTATTCACTCAATTCTGGAATTGGAATAAATATATTTTCCAACCTCCTCTTTAAAATTCAAAGTTTAAATTCTTCCCCGACCAAGTATGTTTTGCTTAATGCAAAGGTGGTTTGATCAGAGGAAGAAAGAAGAGAAAATCCAAACAAATGGTTTCATATTGTTCTTTAGAATCAAACGAACGAACAAAAACTTTTAACATTTAACATAAAATTACATATCAAAAGAAGAAAAAACAGGTTACATTTTGCAGAAAATAATAATAATAATAATAAGGGATTACAACACCAACAGAAATGACGGATCACAGCAACATTCTTCGAACAGACAGCAGCAACATAAAGCTGCAAGACTGCATGATCAAACAAATTCATCATTAATAATTAATATCTATTTCTTTTCTATATGTTCAAATTAATAATTATTTTTTTTAGGAAATATTTATTTTAGTTCAAATCTTTACTCCTAACATACCACATAATTAATGAAAAAGAAAATTCCTGAAATTTATTTTAATATATCCATTTTCGTGCCTACTAAAATCAGTAATTGTGAAACTGAATAATATATACTGTAAATTAAATCAATATGTAGAATATATATATATATACTGGATTTGAGGGGGTTTTGCCTTAATAGTGAAGGTGTTGAGCAGAGGAAGAAAGAGAGAAATCCAATACAAGATGGTTTAATAATTGTTCTCTTTAGAATCAACGAACGGAACAAAAAACTTTTTAACATCTATAATCAGCCCAAAATTACATATCAAAGAAAGAAAAAACAGGTTCAATTTTGCAGAAAATAATATATATAAATAAGGGTATTACAACAGCCCGAAAAGAAATTGACAATACAGGATTCACAAAAAAGAGAACACACGCATATCCTTTACCTATTTAATAAGATACTTGGATGGCTTCGGCGGAAACGGCCCATTCGGCTCCAAAGACGGAAAGTCAAACCACCACATTATCAGATACGTACGGGACAACACAGCCTGACGAGAGCGAAACACAGAGTAGTGACGGCTTCATACGCTTAGATATGTAAGGCGTCGAGAGGCGACGACACCACAAGATACAGTAACTAGAAAGCAACCATTGCAAAATAGGGAAGAGCTCTAAAATCAAAGATCCGAAAGGAACCATTTTCTTCTCGAGTCGAAATATATCGTCCTTGGAATCCGTTCGAAAACAAACGATGTTGCTTCCCAATCAAAATGTTCTTTTTCCACATAGGATAATTATTCTAAATTGATCCTCTATATCTATTCAATTCCGCTATTTCGTTATTCCATTGGGTATCCACCGGAACTTAAATAAACTTCACGTTAAGAGTTTTTACGGGAAAATCAATTTTTATATCCCTTTAAATATAAAGTATCCACAACAAAGCTTCTTCTATGCTCTAACTTACGCGCCATCCACCACTGCATGAAATAACTCCTAATATTGTATGGCACTATACAAACCGAAAAATGAACATATTAGCTATCATCCCCTTTGAAAATTTAATTTATTAAAAAAAATAAAATTCCAGTATATATTTGCAGCTTTTTTTATGCTCATAAGCCTCAAAAGATCCAGTAAAAATGCAACGTCTAAGTCAACCTACTGAAAGGAATTAAGATATAAGTGACCTAAACGTCGTAAATTAGCAACTAGCGCACGCACTAATGTTTACAAAAAGACAATAATATATATAAATTCCTGAAATTTATTTTAATATATCCATTTTCGTGCCTACTAAAATCAGTAATTGTGAAACTGAATAATATATACTGTAAATTAAATCAATATGTAGAATATATATATATATATACCATCCTTCTAAACAGCCTGCTTGTTTCGGTGGTTGTGGCGGCGGTGGAGGTGGATAATATTGGAAAGGTGCCATCACCGGTGGAGGTCCTTGATAAGCACCTACAATTACACAAAACCACAATAATTTATATAAAAAAAACCTGCAAAATTAAGACTCTAACGAGTCAAATTGCTCGTGAGTTACCGAAAATTCGATTTAGAAAAAGCTCGAGTGCTTATCCAACTTATTGAATACTATATTATATATAATTAGTGAAAAATAATTATTACATGAAGAATTAGAAAACGAAATTAACAAGTACCTGGAGGAGGGTAGGGATAGCCAATCTTTGGTTCGTTCATATTCTAGAAAAATAGAACACAAGAACAAGAGTTAATGGAGGATGAAACGTGAGGGTTTAGGTCCTCTCTCTGCACAAATGTATAAATTGATAAAGCTGAAGGAATATGCTTATATTGAGAAGAAAGAAAATGAAAGCTCCAGAAATATATAATGAAAGCTCCAAGAAATGATATATAATATATATATATATATATTCACTTTAAATTATATATTACTTTAATTACTATGCAAGAACCTTGAACATGCAATTGATGAAAATAGAGAAAGGGAGTAAGAAATATTTTTATTTATCATGCCATTGAATTATATAATGTATTTTTATTACAATTTGATTATGGTAGCTGGGATTAATGTATTGTTCTCAAAATTTTGATTATTTTGATCTTGATTAGTATAGTTGAAATAAATATTAATGATATTATTAATTTTAGTTAATTATTAAAAAATTGAAGAACGTTTAAAATATTAATGATATTAATATTAATGGTAACTTGATTAATATCTAAGTAAAAAAATAATGTAAAAATAATTTTTCATGCTTGATATTTATTTAGAGTAAAAATCCAATCTGTCCAAGCAACGCAATATTCGAAGTTTCCATAGAAAGGCTTAAACACCTGTTCGTTGCTTTCTTTATCCAAATTGCTTTTTTTTTTTTTAATATTCCTTACACATTAAAAAGCATTAGCATAAGCTACTTATTTATTTTTGATTAATAAACTATTGAGTGCTAAAGCAAATTATTCCTTCCACACTCTTTTCTGCCTAATTTGATATTAAAAAATTAATCATTTGTCAAACAAGTAACAGCCAGTGATTATAATTTGATATTCCATGTCTTTCGTTTCATCTTTTTTTTTTTTTTTTTTTTTTTTTTTTTTTTTTTTTTTCTCGCTATCAATCTTCTATTCACTTTAATAAATTAAAATATGTGTTTTTTTTTTATAACAAATCTATTTTTTCTTTATTTTTGTTATTGGTGCTTTTGTCTCCATATTTATAGGGTGGCCAAAATCCGGTTTTCGGAACCAGAACCATCGGTTCCGAACCGGAACCAGAACCATCGATTCCGAACTGGTAGGAATCGAAACTGGAACTGGTCCGAACCAAAACTGAAATCGGTCCAAACCAGTTCGGTTTTGGTTCCACCAATTTTGGAACCGTGAACCGGGGTTCCAGCTCCAGTCGGAACCGACGGTTCTACATTCATCTGAAACCGGCCGGAACCGTCCAAAACTGGTCCGAAACAGGCCGGAACAGTCGAAAAATCTGCCGAAATCGTTGATTTTGGAACCATTGAGGAACCGGAACCAGAACCGTTCGGTTCCAAACCGTAACTGAAACCGTTAATTTTCGAGTGTTTTGTCACTTCTCTATGAAAGTTTGGTTTATGCTTTTTAAGGGGTTATTAGTAAATAAAAGTATGATATTTGATTAGAGATTTTAAATCTTGATTGATAGGTGTGGATCTTCGGTTAATAAAGTCTGATAGCATGGAATATTCATCTATTGATGTTATTGATGTATAGCGACGGAAATTCATTAATTTCGTCTTTGAAAAAACAATACATGTACAAAAAAATTCAAAAAAGTTATTATTTTATTGTTCAAATGAAAAGAAAAAAAAAAGTATAATAGACTACACATGACTAATTCCTTTTTCTTTTTTTTTTTTTTTTGACATGGAAAAATCTGAAAACCATTTGGAGACCGAAATAAAAATAAAAATAAAGAAGAGAAAAATAGTAGATTTTTATTCTCAAAGTAAAAAAAAAAAAAAAAAAAAATAAAAAAAAAAAAAAAAAAATACCCCTAAGCCTTCTAATACCATTATCTTCCAACTAAAGAAGATCTGATTTCATCAAGTAATGACAATAAATTTCGTGACCTTAGTTAAATAAAAATATTTAATTTTGGTAAAAATAAAAGTTGAAGGAATAAACTACATAAGATCATAAGAGAAAGAAAAGTAATAAATTATTAAATTTGAAATATTTTTAACAATTATTTTATGGGCTTGAGCTACAGGTTATTAATTAGTTTGGACTTTATTATAATTAATTGGCTTAACAAATATTAAAGGCCCATATTAAAATTGTAACATTAAAATAAAAATAAAAATAAAAATAGGTTTAAATTGTAACATTGAAGTCAATATGAAAATAAGAAGAAGGTCCATAAAATGGCGCCACGCCATCTCAGAAATATCCATCATCTAATAGCGACGTATCCTGTGGAAATGGAAACATGCTAAGCAGTCTATAAAAAATATATTTTGAATAGACATGAGAAGAGAAGATAAGATAAAGACATTTGTCAATATTATATTAACATTAGGGTCATGAATCATCATATTGCCTTGCAGCGCATGTGTTCTTATCCTCTTTTGAAAATAGTTGCTGCTAATAATTGCTTCTATCTCTTTTAATTATTCAGTGTAAACACTAAACAAAATATTCATCTTTCAATGGGTTCCATAGATATACCTCAATCGAGAAAACACACTGAATAATCAAATTCATTACAAACAATTTGTATATTTGTACATGAATTAGTGAATATAGCTGAGCAATTGATTGATTGATTGCAACATCTAACAAACCTTTGTAACCTGTCAACCACAGACAACATCAGAGAAGAACATGTAGCAACAGGGTATTGGGTTAGTAACAATTATTAATTTTTGATACTAACAATCTTTGTCTTTTTTCTTTCAGATTTTTCTTCTTGTTGGTTCAAAATCAAGGCTAGACATAAAAATGAGACAATTCTTTCTAATTAGCAAATATAATTAAGGCTTAAGAAAGATTTAATTTTGTTGATTAGCAAGGACAGATTCTCCTATCTTGTCCGAAAATCAGCTTAATTTATTTGTTAGCTATCTCGTTTTCTTCATCAGCAAAAATGACTTTATTTATAGACTTGTCCCATCAAAAGATTAAAGGTGTCTCAAACAATAATATATGTACGTGGAAAATTTTGGAATGCAAAACCTACACGCTTTAACAACAGTTTATATATTTTATTACATCAAATGAATTTTCTATTTCATCAGTAATATGAAATTTTGTGCATAATTCAATAATATTCATATCTTGCTTTGGATTAGAAGCTTTTTTTTTTTTTTTTTTTTTAAAAAAAGGGCTTGTTTTTTTTTTTTAAAGAAAGGGCTTATTTATTTTAATAAGACAAATTATTTATTTTTAAAAGGGATTATTTGCTTTTTATTTGAAAGACACACACTGATTGGCACAAAATCTTATCACTTTGTTCTCCAAATTCTTTTCTAATGCTCCATCCACATTTTTTATGCCTCCATGGCCAATGACTATATCAGAAAGCAAAAACCACCATTCCCTTGTGTCAACTCCTAACAGTAAATTAACAAGACAAATAGTATATTCGTTACAAGAAAAAATGAACTCAAATCTCTACCTATTCTTAGAAAAATTACAAGAGAAAGGAGCAAAATCACAGAATTACAAGGATGATAATAACATTCGATCAAATTGCTTATCAGAACCATGAAAGATAGCACAAGATTCAAATCAGGAAGCCAATCAAAAAGATTATCAACTTTTACTGCAAAAGGAGTAAAAGGTATGTTCTCCAAGCATACATAATTAACTAATCAAGACTACTAAACCTATTGCTATTGCCATTACTTGCTCGGCGATTAAGGTATTATCAACTAATACTCCGGAAAATCATTAGTCTATAACATCTAAACCCTTTTAAGGGGTTGTCACCTGCTAGTAGTAGATCAATACAACAATCGAGTATCTTTATGCAAATGAGTGTCACTGCAAGTAAGTTCAGAATTCAAATCCCCAAAACATGAAGCAGAAGCAGATTGCTACAGTGAGGCCCTAATCCCAAAAGTCCTACAGAGAATCATAGAAGGTAAAAAGATAGAACTATTTACAACCTGTTGGAAAAGGAGGGGAGGCCAATATGAATACTCCCATGTACTATATTTTGGAACAAGTAGGATTTGCATTTATCCTATCATCTCTATATTTAACATTCTCATCAACCAAGCTTGTCAACTAGAAATCTTGAAATTGTTCTTATTAATCTATGTAAACAACTTCACAACCATCCAACGATGTATAAGCTTATGAGCATACAATTCTCATCTATCACATAATTCAGATGGCGCATCGCACATGCCCATAAACACCACCACTCCATCTCTATATTTGAATTGAAATTGCACACACTGGCCTAGCCTATCAATAAGCGCACATCCAACTTGAGAAAAGATCATATTTGAATCCCTCTCCCTGAGGCTCCCAAAACAGGAAAATCAAAATTGAATAATTAGGGCTACGGCTATCTTAAGTACTCGGATAAAATTTCACAACATCGATTGTCACCCTTTAGAAAAGCACAAAGATTACTAATTAGCAAAGCATATCACTTGAATCAATGGCTGGCAATTTCATGCAGGCATGACAACATATAATCATTCCATCTCAATCATTGATCAAAATCAACTATCCAGGGCTAAAACCTAAATGATTAGAAACTATAATGCTTTTCTTTTTTCCATGACTATATCTAAACCCTCTTCGGAATATGAGACTAATCTGGTTTCAGTATTCATAGCTGCCCTCCCTGTAAGTGTTTTCCCCCCAATTAGAGATGAAACCCTTCATAAACACAAAACTATTGAAAAAAAAAAAAAAAAAAACAAAAAAAACAAAACATAGAACACAAATTAGAAGTCAAACAAAACTAAATAATGATTAAAAATCATCTGATCTCAAACACTGTGTACAAAAATAAGAAAAAAAAAATATTAAAGCCAACAATTTCACATAATATTAAAGCACATAATTATCTTAAATTAGAAGCATATCTATATATGGATAATTACCTATTTATAGTTTCGTTTATCATAATAATCAAACTGAAGATTGTGAAACCTTTGAAACCATAACTTTACCATCCTGATTCAAACCCCCAGCAGCAACACCAACACCGCCGCCACCACCCATATGTCTCATTTCCCCACTTACTGCCACCCCACCAACTCCCTGATATTGTGGTTGTTGCGGCACTACACCTCCCTGCGCAGTGTAGTACACTTGCCTACCAACTGCGTTATCATACGCCATTTGTGCATAACCTGCATCTGTCATCCCTACACCGGCCCCACTTGGCCTCACTACCCCCATAGGTCCCGGTCCTGCGGTAATTGTTGGTTGCTGTTGTTGCGGTGGTGGGACCATATTGTATATCGGTTGTTCCCGATAAACTTCAGGTCCTCCCATTCTTTGCATGTAATACGGTTGACCTGTTTGGCCGGCGACCTGTCGCATTACAGGAGTGTGATAAACAGTGCCCGGAGCTGGACCGGCCATCATGTAAACCTGTTGCTCCTGCGGAGCTGGCGTCGTTGTTACAGTCACCGGAGCAGGTTGATATCCTCCTGTGGCGATCTGTTTCTCAGGCCAATATCCAGCAGGAGCAGTTACTGTTGGCTGGACATTAACGGGTAAATTCACCGGAGGAACTTTTTCCGGTAATTTCTGAACGTAATACTCGCCAGGGTACCCGCCTACCAAATTGTCATCACTGTTTTTCCTATACATATTTTGCTGTTCCTGTTCTCTAATCTGCATTCTCTGCAACTGGGTCTGTATATTCACATGATCCGACCCGATTACCCGATCATCATGAACGACACCTGGATGCACTTCTGGTAAATCAGCCACTTTCACTGGCGGTGGAGCCGGAGCAACACCCTTATCTAACCCAAACAAGAAATCAACGTTATTCGGAGCCGGTTTGTTGGTCTCGGGTACATGACTCGGACCCGAATTCAAAGCTTCAACAAAGCGGTCTCGTTCCGATTTAGATCCCTCGGACCCAAAACTCGCCGCGGGAGAAGGGCTGACCGGAAACAAGAAAAGCCTCATACGAGCAGGTTTAGCAGAAGCTCGATAAAGACGATCATACTCATTCATCATGTGTTCAAGATCATCATCATTCGTAACAGAGATCAACGCGTCAAGATCTTCACCTGGAAGCTGATACTTGAAAGAAATATCCGTGTCGCCACAAAGGGCGGCGAGTTTGCTGATCATGACGTTGAACTTGATATTCCGATCAACGGCGAGAATTTTGGTCTCTCCACCAATGTAAGAGAGCTGATTATCATGTGGGCGAGGATGGATCTTGCCACCATAGCTGCACATAAACTTAGCTTTGTAATCTTGAGCTTGTTGAGATTGGTCCTCCCATGGCGTCGGATTCTCGAATTCGATTTCCCGCGATCGAGGAGAGGAGTGGCCGGAATCTGGGTATGAATTATACGAGTAGTTTTCCATGTTTTTGTGTTAGAGAAAGCCTAGAAACGGAGAAAAAGAGAGAGAGAATTTGGGTTTTTCTGGGTGTGGAATTAGAAGTCCATAACTGTGGTGGAAGGGAATTGGAGAAGACTAGAGAGATCTTTTATAAGATCTTTTCTAATTTTGTTTAGGAATGGTTTAGATGGTGGTAGTATGGATTTTTGGTGCTACTTACTGTGTATTGATATTCTGTTTTTATTTTTATTCTCAGAAAAAAACAATCAAACTTTATGAAATTATAGATTTAACTCCAACTAAAGTTTATTAATTTAAAATAATCAAATGTCATTGAATTATTTATTTTATATATTTAGCTCCAACTAAAATTTAATTGATTGAAAATTATTAAATTTAATTGCATTTATTTTTTACTTATTATTTCAATTGTATGTTCCATAAGTAATAATGTATCTTCAATTATAAAAAAAAAAAAAAGAAATGTCTTTCATTTAGATATATATTTAAAAATAAAGTTTAATTTGCATCATGCATTTAATTCTGATATATAAAAAGTCTAAAATTAAATTTTATCAATTAGATCATAAAACGTATAACAAGATGGACAATAATTTAAAATGAGGACCTACATCACTTTTGTCGTCTTTAATTATTTATTCTCTTTAGTTTGAATTACTCCTCCTTCATGAAATAAGTCTCATTCAATATGTTTTAACTATAGTTTTTTGCTTAATTTTTTTTTCCTAACATCACGCTCTTATTCTTTTTCAAGATTTAGTTACTATTAATAATATTTAATATTTATTGATAAATATGTAAAGGGTTTGCACAAATGGTCTATATCATTAATCCTCTCCAACCTTTTGGCTGCCACATCTTCTCCAAATGGAAGACTCAAATCTGTTCGGCAAAATTAACTATTTTGATAGCTGATAACTATTTTAATGTCATTTAATTATTAGCTATTTGAGTAGTTTTTTATAAAACGCTAAAAGCTAAATGTTACATGAGTTAACTTTTCACAAAATGCTACATTAATCTTTAAAAGTTAATTTAAATGCTATGTTATCGAACACTATAAAAAGTAACGTTTAAAAAACAATTGTTAAACACAGACTTGAGAGACTTTTATAAACTTTATACATAGAAGTAGAATAAAATGCTATGTTACCGAACACTATAAAAAGTAACGTTTAAAAAACAATTGTTAAACACAGACTTGAGAGACTTTTATAAACTTTATACATAGAAGTAGAATAAAATGCTATGTTACCGAACACTATAAAATTTTATAAGATCTTTTCTAATTTTGTTTAGGAATGGTTTAGATGGTGGTAGTATGGATTTTTGGTGCTACTTACTGTGTATTGATATTCTGTTTTTATTTTTATTCTCAGAAAAAAACAATCAAACTTTATGAAATTATAGATTTAACTCCAACTAAAGTTTATTAATTTAAAATAATCAAATGTCATTGAATTATTTATTTTATATATTTAGCTCCAACTAAAATTTAATTGATTGAAAATTATTAAATTTAATTGCATTTATTTTTTACTTATTATTTCAATTGTATGTTCCATAAGTAATAATGTATCTTCAATTATAAAAAAAAAAAAAAGAAATGTCTTTCATTTAGATATATATTTAAAAATAAAGTTTAATTTGCATCATGCATTTAATTCTGATATATAAAAAGTCTAAAATTAAATTTTATCAATTAGATCATAAAACGTATAACAAGATGGACAATAATTTAAAATGAGGACCTACATCACTTTTGTCGTCTTTAATTATTTATTCTCTTTAGTTTGAATTACTCCTCCTTCATGAAATAAGTCTCATTCAATATGTTTTAACTATAGTTTTTTGCTTAATTTTTTTTTCCTAACATCACGCTCTTATTCTTTTTCAAGATTTAGTTACTATTAATAATATTTAATATTTATTGATAAATATGTAAAGGGTTTGCACAAATGGTCTATATCATTAATCCTCTCCAACCTTTTGGCTGCCACATCTTCTCCAAATGGAAGACTCAAATCTGTTCGGCAAAATTAACTATTTTGATAGCTGATAACTATTTTAATGTCATTTAATTATTAGCTATTTGAGTAGTTTTTTATAAAACGCTAAAAGCTAAATGTTACATGAGTTAACTTTTCACAAAATGCTACATTAATCTTTAAAAGTTAATTTAAATGCTATGTTATCGAACACTATAAAAAGTAACGTTTAAAAAACAATTGTTAAACACAGACTTGAGAGACTTTTATAAACTTTATACATAGAAGTAGAATAAAATGCTATGTTACCGAACACTATAAAAAGTAACGTTTAAAAAACAATTGTTAAACACAGACTTGAGAGACTTTTATAAACTTTATACATAGAAGTAGAATAAAATGCTATGTTACCGAACACTATAAAAACAAATGGTCTAGTAGTCATTAATTACTTCTCCAAACTTATAGGATCTTGACACAGCATCTTTCTCAACTAGGAAGACCACTCACATCTGTTCGGCGCAAAATTAACTATTTGATAGCTGAATAACTTATTTTTAAAGTCATTTAATTATTAGACTGGGATTGTAGAGTAGTTTTTGATTAAAGATACGGCTAAATACATAATTATACAATGATGTTAAACATTTGAATCAATATCAAATAGTTGCTGTTCATTGAAATCTTATTGGAAAAGGTTTAATTTAAATGCTATAAGTTATGACGGGAATGATCGACACTATATTAAGTAAACGCTTTAAAAAAACAATTCGTTATAATTCATCAGGGACTTGTATGAGACCTTTTTTATAAACTTTATACATAGAGGAGATAGTTAATAAAAATTGACTATGTTCCGTACGCGAACACTATTACAAAAGTACTGTTCCTTAACCATTATTGTGGTCAACCATCAGACTTGAGGATGCAGGATCTTTTATAAACTTTACTACCATAGACTAGGATACCAAAAACAAAATTGCATTATTATTATTACGAACGTCTTCACACATAGGAAGATCAACCTTTTTATATATCGCTCAGCCCTCGCTTTAAAGGGACTGTTTTAATGGAGTCCATACTTTTTATTTCAAAAAACGCTATGGAAAACCGTTACATGTGTTAAACTATGAGTTAATAAAAAATGCCTAACTTTTTAAACCTGCTAAAAAGTCAGTTCAGAAATTAGATTAAGGGCTAAAATGCCATAATGAAAAACTAACGCGATTTTCAGTGATATTTGTGATCTAGAGTTTCAAATAACATTAAAAGTATTAAAATTCTATTTCACTTGACGGAAACGATAACCTAGAGTAAACTGGGAATAAGATGTTGGAATTATCTTTGTATCTCCTTTAAAAATGGAAATGAAAATAGTTAACATAATTTAATGGGAAATTGAGAAATTGAATGTGCCTGGAAGACAGCTTATTAGAAAGTGTTCTAAAATTTTGATAACACTGGTATGTCCAGTGAGGGAACGGAAGAGTTAAAATTTCTGAGTAACTCAGTTTTTTACACAATAGTCTGGATTTAATTAGTTGGCCGAACACAAAGCTCGAGTGAAGAGGTTTGAATACAAAGAAACGCTCATTCCCAATAGAATGAATTTGAAAACATATGAGCATAGTGGGTGTGTCGCGGTCTAAAAGAAAAACCACCAATATCAAGAAACTGCGGTTATAAAATCGTTTACTATCACTGCGTAAAATACAACTAGTCAGTTTGTAAGTTAAGTTTCGCATTGGTTGTCAAATCAGAAATAAACTACCTGGAAAAGTTACTTAAACAATTTATGTATTGATTTGCATTCTATAGACGAACACTATAAAAAGTAACGTTTAAAAAACAATTGTTAAACACAGACTTGAGAGACTTTTATAAACTTTATACATAGAAGTAGAATAAAATGCTATGTTACCGAACACTATAAAAAGTAACGTTTAAAAAACAATTGTTAAACACAGACTTGAGAGACTTTTATAAACTTTATACATAGAAGTAGAATAAAATGCTATGTTACCGAACACTATAAAAAGTAACGTTTAAAAAACAATTGTTAAACACAGACTTGAGAGACTTTTATAAACTTTATACATAGAAGTAGAATAAGAGTCTACTAGAGTACCTTTTAGTAGCGTTTAGCTGTTAGAGTACCTTTTTATAAAACGCTAAAAACGTTACATGATTTAACTTATTATAAAATGCTACCTTAACCTCTAAAAGTCAGTTCAAACGCTATATTACTAAACAATATGAAAAATAGCGTTTAGTATTTTGACTGGTCAAAACATTAAAAGTTACTAAAAAATTATTGACGAACATAACCTAATAAACTATAAATGTTATTATCTCCTTTAAAAATGGAAATGAAAATATAATTTGGAAATGAAAAATGAATGTGCTAGATCTAAGCAATGTCTAAAATTTGAACCCTGGTATTGTGAACGAAGAAAATTGAACCTTTACCAAATCTGGATTAATTAGTTGAGCCAAACACCGAGTAGTTTAACAAAAGAAGATTATAGAATGAATTGAAAATATGGATATTGTGTGCCTCTAAAAAACCAATTCAAATGCTATATTACTAACACTGTAAAAAATAGCGTTTAGTATTTTGATTGGTCAAAACACTAAAAGTTACTAAAAAATTATTGATGAATATAGCCTAAGAAATTATAAATATTATTATCTCCTTTAAAAATGGAAATGAAAATATAATTTGGAAATGAAAAATGATTGTGCAAGATCTAAGCAATGTCTAGAATTTGAATCCTAATATTGTGAACGAAGAAAATTTAACCTCTACCAAATCCGGATTAATTAGTTGAACCGAATATCGAGTAGTTTAACAAAAGAAGATTATAGAATGAATAGAAAATATGGATATTGTGTGGGCATTTATTTGTTTGAAAAAATGAAAATTTAAAGACGATGCCCTTTTGCTAGCTTTTCCAAAGAACAATGTTTGAAGGTGTGGGTGGGACAGGTGGAGGAATGATAAGGTAGGAGGAGGAATAGGGAATGATATATGGGGCTGTAGTAGATGGACTTTTGGGGAGGGTGGTGGGGTCCAACGAGCATTGATTGAGAGGATGACTGGAGAAATGGACAAACAAGAGGGTAATATGTTGACTGTGTGTGA